CAAACCGCCACAATGGCCTAACGTAAAGAAAAGTAAAGTAATGTTTAGATATTGACACTTGGGTTAAGTCGCTCCTGTCTTGTTCATTCAGAGTAGGTTATGCTAAGGTCACATTTCCAAACCAGTGCCCGGCCGGGCAGTCTTATGGAACGAAAAAATACAGCATAAGAGACAACCGAGCAAAAAAAAGTTGGAAAAAAATCAATAATTGAATTATTTGCGTATATTCTTGATGAAAAAATTGTTGATTTTTTGTTAATCGAAACAGCCCGGCCAGGCCGTAGTTTGGAAATGTTACCTCAGCAATAGAGCCGGGTAATTAGGCTGCTTATCTTAATTACATGGCGGTAAAGTAATTAGATTAGAAACAACAAATGGTGATGGATGAGTAGTTTTTCTTGACCAGAGAAGTGGCCGTGCGTTGACCCCATAGGCATTTAGGTGTTTCGAAACGTTTAATGCATCCAATGCAACTACATCCAATGCAACGTCCCGAAACACCTAAAATGCCTATGGGTCAATGTACGGCCACTTAACTTGTCAAGAAACTACTCATCCATCACCAGTTGTTGTTTCTAATTTTTTACCGCCATGTAATCAAGCTAAATAACTAATAGATCACCCGGCGGCCACATATTCATATTGAGCTCACGTTTGTTGCAAGGTGGTCTTTTATTTAGGGTTGGTGGCTCTGAATCCGGTAATTCTGGGTTCGAAACCATGGAGGGCTCCTATACAACCTCAGTCATGAGTCAAAAAGGCAAAAACTCTTGAAAGTGTAAAGCACTCCGTATCAGTGCTGCTAAAACTCCACACACTCCCAAATCACTTCTCATCGATGGACGGACACTAGCGAGAGTTGTTCACAACAAAGTATGTCACAATACAGAGTACTGGTATCATGACATCTTATCATGATGCTGTGACCATGCATGCTATCTACGGGTGACCATGAGAGCATAATTTATAATGATAATTATGCGGTGCTGATGATCATAATCATGGGGTGATTATGCGTGTTGCCTGCATGATCACTAACCTGAGTGTCAGCCCTTTTAACCAACTTGACCTTGGATTTTCTTTCCGTCAGTCGACAAAACTAGACAAGATGCGAATCTTGGCCAAATTTTAGTTCACAACTCCAAACGGTTGCTGAGATATTGTCAACTTTGCACTTCGGCAGCTGCCATAGGGATAGGGCCCGTCCAAGGAACGTACAAGGGGCCATTTAGTGGTACCATTATCCGATAAAATGTACTCTTCTGGCCCTCTTTTTCTTGGTAACAATGATCATAAGTGCCTACTCGAACATTTAGAGTGATTTGTACTTAGTGTAAGGCTTGTTTACGGCAAAAGGGGGGGGGTGAACACGGCTTCGGGCCGGTGGCACTTGACTTTTCCCTTAACAACGGTAATCTGCCTGCCAAAAATCATGGACGTCGAATCATGCCTAAAAGAGTCACCCACAATCCGGCGAGACAATTTCATAGTCCTTCTGACGAAGACAAATATTGTACCCTGTGATTTTAACTGATCAAATATGCTGTGATTTTTAAACTTCACCACTCTTTGTGTGTAGATGACTCAGAGACAAAAACAAACATGGCGTAAGGTAAACACAAAGTTAGATAGCGGCGGGCCGACGGTTCCGCTAGTGGTCACCACTTTTCTTGTAACCAGGGTCATATATACATTATTTTATGCTGAAATATTGTACCCCGTTCTGTTTGTTTACCACATCAAGCAGTTTTCGGTAGATCTCAGCACTCGTCATGACTGTGTAAATGACTCTGATACCGCAAAAAACAAACATCGTGCAAAAACAAGATGGCGCCGAGACGGCATCGTGTTAACCGCCGAAATGAGTCCTTAGCATGGTTCACAGAATTTATCATAGCGCAGTCAGAATCGGGAAAGCCAGGCTAAAATATATGTCGTTGTAATCCTTACAAGTCAGGGAACCTCGGGAAGTTCACTTGAAGATCACACTTGTACTCAAAAACGAGCTTTGTAGCGTCAAAGTTGACCTTTATTCGCTAGCTAAGAACTCATTTTGGCGTAGGTTTTCGAACTGTATGGGGGTTTCCGTGATACCGCTAATCCCATCTACTTCCGGGTCACGAGGTCACGAGGTCACGGCTTACGAGGTTCGGTTACTAGTATATTACACGCCGAAGAGCTAAGGAAACGTTGCGGAGTGAAATTTCATGAAAAAAAGCTCTTAAAAAGCCGCACCTATAAGGTTTCGCAACTTCTTCCCAAAAATCCAATTACGCTTTGGCGAGTATATTAGGGTCTGCCCTCCGTGTCTATCATATAAATGATACACGTAAACGTCGGGTCGTCCTCGGAGTGCTATTTGTATCATTTCAATGATACGTGTAACTACCTAGGTTTTCCAAAGCCGGACTGACTTCCAATATAGTAACCCCACTATCATATCTACGCATGTGGGAGACGGGTACACTGTACCAGCAATCATTTAAATAGCTAATAGAAGAGTTACCACTTGGCTCTTATAAAGCCGCGCCAATAAGGTTTCGCAACTTCTTCCAAAAATCCAATTACGCTTTCGGGCGAGAATATTAGGGTCTGCCCTCCGTGTATATCATATAAATGATACACGTAAACGTCGGGTCGTCCTCGGAGTGCTATTTGTATCATTTCAATGATACGTGTAACTACCTAGGTTTTCCAAAGTCGGACTGACTTCCAATACAGTAACCCCACTATCATATCTACGCATGTGTGAGACGACAAAAAAAATCCCTTCACCCTTTGGCGAGTACTCTTTCTCGCAAAGGCGATTATGGTCTGCCCTCCGTGTATATCATATAAATGATACACGTAAACGTCGGGTCGTCTTCGAAGTACCTTATGTATCATTTCAATGATACGTGTAACTACCCAGGTTTTCCAAAGTCGGACTGACTTCCAATGTAGTAACCTCACTATCATATCTACGCATGTGTGAGACGGGTACACTGTACCAGCAATCATTTAAATAGCTAATAGAAGTGTTACCACTTGGCTCTTAAAAAGCTTGTTCAGAATGATTGGCTAGGTGTATTTGAGCTTGACAAACTTTCTCTGTCCACAAGAGATACGGTCTTCGAATTTACGTCAACAGCTTCTCCCCTCCAAGCCATAATATATAGTTTCTGTGTCATTCACGACTATACTATAACGTATATTCCGGTTTTGACAAAGAGAATCTGCACAGAACACACTCCTCGACTCCTCGAACAAACTAATTGACTCACTGAGTGAATAACTGTTAACCGACACGTCAAAAGCGTCAGAGAAATTAAAAATATGCACGCTTGTGAACTTTGTCCGAAAACAGGTAGGTGGCGCTTTCGCCAGCTATATGACATCACTCCTTTGCCACCTGTCACCGGTGAGTGCGTTGACGTACGACGCCCAAACTTTCAGAGATGGTGGAGAAGATCATATTCTTTTCTTTGATAGATTATTTTATTAATACATTATAGTTAAGGTATCATTCAGAAAGAGTACTCGCCAAAGGGTGAAGGGATTTTTTTTGTCGTGTCACACATGCGTAGATATGATAGTGGGGTTACTATGTTGGAAGTCAGTCCGACTTTGGAAAACCTAGGTAGTTACACGTATCATTGAAATGATACAAATAGCACTCCGAGGACGACCCGACGTTAACGTGTATCATTTATATGATATACACGGAGGGCAGACCCTAATATTCTCGCCAAAGCGTAATTGGATTTTTGGGAAGAAGTTGCGGAACCTCATTGGCGCGGCTTTTTAAGAGCCAAGTGGTAACTCTTCTATTAGCTATTTAAATGATTGCTGGTACAGTGTACCCGTCTCACACGTGCGTAGATATGATAGTGGGGTTACTATATTGGAAGTCAGTCCGACTTTGGAAAACCTAGGTAGTTACACGTATCATTGAAATGATACAAATAGCACTCCGAGGACGACCCGACGTTTGCGTCTATCATTTATATGATATACACGGAGGGCAGACCATAATATTCTCGCCCGAAAGCGTAATTGGATTTTTGGAAGAAGTTGTGAAACCTTATTGGCGCGGCTTTATAAGAGCCAAGTGGTAACTCTTCTATTAGCTATTTAAATGATTGCTGGTACAGTGTACCCGTCTCCCACATGCGTAGATATGATAGTGGGGTTACTATATTGGAAGTCAGTCCGACTTTGGAAAACCTGGGTAGTTACACGTATCATTGAAATGATACATAAGGTACTTCGAAGACGACCCGACTTTTGCGTGTATCATTTATTGATAGACACGGAGGGCAGACCATAATCGCCTTTGCGAGAAAGAGTACTCGCCAAAGGGTGAAGGGATTTTTTTATCGTCTCATACATGCGTAGATTTGATAGTGGGGTTACTATATTGGAAGTCAGTCCGACTTTGGAAAACCTAGGTAGTTACACGTATCATTGAAATGATACATAAGGTACTTCGAAGACGACCCGACTTTTGCGTGTATAATTTATATGATAGACACGGAGGGCAGACCATAATCGCCTGTGCTAGAAAGAGTACTCGCCAAAGGGTGAAGGGATTTTTTTATCTGTATCTGTATCTGTATAGCCGGTATAACCGCCTTTCGGCGTAACACACCAGCTAGGTATACAACCCGACGTCCCGACGTTTACGTGTATCATTTATATGATATACACGGAGGGCAGACCCTAATATTCTCGCCAAAGCGTTATTGGATTTTTGGGAAGAAGTTGCGAAACCTTATTGGCGCGCCTTTTTAAGAGCCAAGTGGTAACTCTTCTATTAGCTATTTAAATGATTGCTGGTACAGTGTACCCGTCTCACACATGCGTAGATATGATAGTGGGGTTACTATATTGGAAGTCAGTCCGAATTTGAAACCTAGGTAATTACACGTATCATTGGAATGATACATAAGGTACTTCGAAGACGACCCGACTTTTGCGTGTATCATTTATATGATACACGCGGAGGGCAGACCTTAATCGTCTTTGCGAGAAAGAGTACTCGCCAAAGGGTTAAGGATTTTTTGGAAGAAGTTGTGAAACCGTAACGGCTTTGCAAAGGTCACCTTTCTAGTTGATGATTATTTTATACTGATGTTTAGATCATGTGATTTCTGTATCCCACGTACTCATGCATGGTGTCCTATCAGCCTATATGGGCTGGGCGACAATATTTATACACTTCTATGCACTCCGAAGAAGCCTGACTTGCATGATTGCAATTATATACACGGGAGACAATTTTGCAACGATTGAGATTTTTAAAGTCGGACTGTCTTCATGCTATCTAACAAAAATTTTGGTAAAAATTAGGTAATTTTCGGGGCGCAATGTGATTCAGGTGAAAGTCGTGTTGTCTTCGACGTGTTTGCAACGATACGAGGCAAAATGTATCGGCTATCGAATGATTGCTAGCGTACTCGTTTTTAGAAATGTGCATACATGTCAGTGGCTCGTTCAGTTGAAGCAAAAGAGCCATAACGCTATATATAATTCTTGAGCATTCTTTCCCGAAAGGGTGAGTATTGCGCAGTACACTGCCCTTGTCAGGGCACAGCCCACTAATTCCAGCCCCTATTGGAATATATGGAAAACATCTAAGAACTGAGCTGTCAACAATCACCTACTTGAGTGTTCAACTATTGCAAACACATATTGACAGGGTAGTCCAACTTCCAAATTGTCCATTTAGTCCAAAAATTTCACTTTCTGACCAGCGTACCTGGCACGGCAAATGCTAACACTGGCAGCATGACCTCTGACCCCCTTGAAGACCACCAAAAGACAAGAAGATGGGATTAGTTTTAGAACCTATCAAGCAGCCAAAACAACCCTAACAGCCAGATGTTTTCAAGTTAATAGAAATAGAAATAACTCTCCAGCTGGAAAATGCCACTATTTATAAACACATACCAAAAAAAAGGATGTTTTCAGTTGGTTTGGATGCGGTTATCAAAGGGGTCTCACACTGGGCCCTCTGGGCATGCGCCATTTGGTGGCCTTTGCCCCTGTCACTTGGCTACGGCCCTTCGCCGGGTAATGACGTCGCTGGACGTGACCCGGAAACAGATGCAACCAGATACCGCGAAACCCCCATAGGGTGCGTATTTTGACGGAAATCCAATGGCGGAAACCTCGCCGAAAAATGGAAATGAGTCAACTTTGACGCTACAAAGCTCGTTTTTGTGTACAAGTGTGATCTTCAAGTGAACTTCCCGAGGTTCCCTGACTTGTAAGGATTGCAACGACATATATTTTAGCCTGGCTTTCCCGATTCTGACTGCGCTATGATAAATTCTGTGAACCATGCTAAGGACTCATTTCGGCGGTTAACACTTGGTCCGCGGCAGCCATGTTGATGATGATGATGCTTTGTCTCCCAAGGGGAACCCTAAACGTACTTTGATTACTCACATAATGTAGCGGTATAAATATCGATATCAATACATCTCAGGGTTGTTTTGCATGCCCTTGAATTTACTACTAGTGTTGTTTTGATGAAAGAAGCAAAATAACCAACATGTCTCATGACTTTTGTATAGAGGACGACTCAGAAATTTTTAAAAGTGATGTATTGCTGAACAACAATTTCGACATTATACAACCAAAGCGTTGATCAAACTATAAGCAGGGTGTTGGTGTCTTTATATCCTGTTTAGGGTGGTGTTTTTCATTTTCCTTGGTAAAAATCTGTTACCAGTAAGACTGAATGAGTCAGATATTCATCCACTATCTTTTATCGGTGTCTGAGACTGAGTCTTCAGCGCATTTATCCAGTTTATTTATTTTGTTTCATGGAATTTCCCAACACAATGAACCTATGGGTTGGTTCTGTAATATCCTCACTCTGGGTTTGTGTTGGGGGATTTTTAAAGTTTTCTCAAGAAAAGGTTTGAAACACATGTTTGAGTGAAAAACAATTTAATCTCTGTAAAAATAGTGCTTAAAAAATACAGCTATTACTATTCATCTGTATTGTTATAAAAAGTATACATTGTCAACAAGATGTGACAGAACTTTGAGTAAATACATAACAAGTGCACATAAATTTTGTTAGTGTGATATGAGGGTGCAAACTAAGCTTTCTATTGATATATAATTCAAGGTGATTGATCAAGTACCAACTGCGCTATAATCTTTCAATATTAAGTGACCATACATATGGTTTAAATACTAGTAGGGAATGTGAGAACAGGTACTAACAATAAAATGCATGCAATAATTGGACACAATTCTTCAAGAATGTGTGGTCTTGTAAGCCGTATTTGTACATCAGATCACTTTGAGAAGCAGGCATCACTTTCCAGTAAAGGTTACAGTGCTAGTTTGCATGCAGAAACATCCACCCCATAGTAGGGCATTCGAAGAACTGGAAACTGTACAACACACAGATACCCTTCAACAGTCCTGTGCTAAAACTTAGTGAAAACACACTGAATAAAAGTATGACAGGTCTGCTCAGGTCTTTAGGGATTACTATTCCCTCCTGAACTCTCTTCTTTCTACGGAGAGGTATGAACCCAACCCAGACAAAAAAGCCATCGAAGTCTGTCCAATCTAAATGTAATCCATGAGGATGTTCCAGCACGTCCCCACACATTCTCTGATTGGTTGTGCACTACTGAAACATGGACAACTGGTCAGGAGTTATTCCCCAGGTGGACCCTCTGGGTTTGCTACACCCTGTGTTTCTTCATGGCTGGTGTTCAGATGTGGTAGGTACATCCGAGCCGCGGTGTTCATAGAATCCATATCCCAAAGCTCACCTGGCATGACAGACGACTCTCTCCAAACATCTTCAGACCTGTCATACACATAAACCTGCTCATATAGCCGGGGCAAGGAGTCTGACGTAGAGAAATCGTTGCAGCCAACCAATGCACGCAGCTTGTTTTGGAGTACAAAGAGAGTGCAGCATTCAATGTTAACCTCTTCATTTGTGTCGGGCAACCCTGAATGCTCAGACCAGCTGTCTGCCTCTGTGTAATATACCAACATCTTCGTGAACCCATTATCTGTGCAGAAGATCTCTGTTCCCATGGCAACTGCTGAACAGAGGTCATAATCAAATTCCACTTCTGACAGGACTTTCCGGGTCCACCGGTCTTCCCTTGGGTCATACCAATGCATTTCGTTAGTTGAGAAGAGATAGATGCGCTGATTGCAGGACACTGCTACTTGGGCGTGAGACCGCTCAACCTGTTGAGGTGTTGAGCAGTTGTGCCACTCATTTGTGTTCTGGTTGTATTTCTTCAGCTCAAACACTGACCCCTCCCACTCCGAGAGAAGGTGAAAAAGATGTCCATCGACTTCCACAAGGTAGTGACGGGGCACCTGCTGACCTGTTCCTACGTACACCGTAGACTTTTGTTCCCATTTATCCTCGACATGATTGTACATATGCAGGGTAACGTCATCTGAACCTTCAAGTTCAGCTAAAATATAGATCTCATTGTCTGGAAAAATGGTACACCTAACAGGAAATAGGTTGTAGTGACGCCTGATGAACTTCTTTTCTCCTGGGTTCATCCACATGACCTCATCTGTGCTGTAAAGAGCAAGATGCAATAAATCATCAGGCTGTAAAAATTAAATTTGTTGGATTTAGGGAAAGTAATGCTGAAGAGGAATACTAACATATAAACAGAGTCAAAGTACATGTATATACATACTTTCCTTGGTACAGCAGAACCATTTCTGTGGTCATCCCAAGCCTCGGTTTCAGGTTGGGGTTTCTCGTCTGTACCACATTCCTGATGAGCTCAGAACTCCCATGATCCTCCCTGACCAGGGAATGTTCCAAGATGGCTGCCATGTCGTCTGAGGTCAGCAGGTTGAAGCGGATGCAAGGGAGGATGCTGGGTAGGTGCTGCAGTCTGTAGGGTACAGGTTAGGGGTAGAGCTTTTAACTTATGTGACTAAACATGACAAAATTAACACCCTGTGAATGTCATCAATAAAGTCAGGCTTTTTCAGTCATACTATGTATCCATACAATTATGAATAACTAGAATAATGAAAGACATAACACTGCTGTCCACCTATCCTCCCTGCTGTGCTGCACCCATCTCACCACAGCCTCCCACACTCTTGTCTCCTCTTTAACCTCCAGCTTATCCTGGCTGATGATCTCAGTCAGCTGATTCACACTCAGGCTGCAGAACTCCTCACTGGAGGAAACCTTAGGAGGCGTGGAATAGTTTTGAATATTTGGCAATCCACATAATTGAATTTTAGCTGTAACTTGTGAGCAAGGGCAAACTGGGGGCTAACATTATATGCTGCAAACACACCAACCTGGAGAGATATCTACAACCACCATACATCAGTTCCTAACACAGTAACACCTATTGACAAGTGTTTCACTTTGAGTAGCTTACCAAATGCTTTCTTCCTGTTTTCAAAAAGCTATACTCAGTCATATGATGTGTCATGTTTGTCTATATTGTGCTGCCATTACTAGGTTTTGTCGTGCATGAAAATTTTTATTGAAGTCTCTGATCACAATGTATGTAAAAGAAGACCAACCTCCACAAAATGCTGACATATATACTGCAGACAAGAGTTAAGAACAACATCCATCCTGAAAACATCAGCAAACTTGTACAGGTCCACACAGGTGGAGCGTTCCACGTTCATGGCCATGTAGCTGCTGCAGGTGTCTCTCACATAGTCCAGTTGGAGGAGGTCAGCTGCCTGGTACAGGGGCTGCACTCTGTCCAGGGACACATGTAGGGTTCCCGAGTAGATGTAACTCAGGATCTCCTCAAACATATCTGCATCCAAACCCTACAGAAGAAATTGTACAACACAAAGACAACATTTCAACTCCTACCCCAAATGTTTGTCCAATTTTCATCCCATTTACTGTTGGTAACATGATTAAACAAAAAGGGCGTCAAAGTTTTGAAAGTGGTCACTGAACTGTGAACTTGTGAAGATGGTAAATTTGACACCAAAAAGAATCCAATATTCTGATCTGTTGTAGTCCCCCTAAGGGAATGGTATAACCCGCCACCCCGGTGGTGAGTAGACTAGTCCAGTGACACTTCTTGGAAACCAGTTAGAACTAGTTCAGATACGACTTTCCAGGAACACGGTACTCACAAGCACACCTCTCGTCTCCTCGTCTTCATTGCCTAAACCTTTATACATGGGTGGGAGACAGGGTGAGGAAGGGCTCGTTACAAATTATAGTAGTGGGGAGGGGGGCGCGCAAAACAACAAACTTTTCAGGAAAGAATCATGAACTCCTCCTAATTTTCCTGGTTTTATGGGATACGCGATCTCTGTAAAATGCCTGTTTTTCATCTAGGCAACCCTTATAGAAAGCGTTATACCTACTTGTAAAACAACCGTGTTCTGCCGACTTTCCGCCATGTCGCTTGTAAACATGGCTCTAAAGTAGGGGCTGGCCGCGGACAGAACAAGCCGATGGCAGGGAAACCGCCGGCCCTCGACTTCAAGGACGACATCCTGCAGTTCCCCTTCCTTCTGTAAGTCACCCACAGCTCCAAGAAATCCGTGCTGATAGCTCTCGTCTTGGTAGGAACGAGGACGAACTGAGCTGGCGTGGGTTTCTTGGTCTGCGGCAGCCATGTTGATGATGATGAAAGGGCTGTACCTCCAAGGGGAACTGTAGACGTACTTTGATTACCCACATAATGTAGCAGCATGAAGCAGATACTATAGTCGACGCCTGGGGTACTGGAAAGATGAAAACGTTACCTTCAGGATTCACAATTTCTATTATGCCGAGTTTCATTTGTTTGGTGCCATCCGAGTGGATTCATGAAGATACGTAAGCTTTGTCGTTTTTCCTGTGTGTTTTAGCGAAAGATCAATCCTCCATGATACTACAAAGACGTACTACAAAATTCGTGCAGGCGCCACACTTCTGCTTGGAGATGGATCTTTCTATCACAAAACAAGAAACCGGCCATTTCAAACCTAACGGAAGATGAAGATGAAGTATGCCGGGTGTTTTTGATTGCCCAACCAAAGATACGTACTTGACCTAGGCCGTAAACCCTAGGCTAACTGCCCACTTGGGCCTAGTAGGACGGAAACCTTGCAAGTCGTGAGAGCTTATTGCCGTGACAGTAATGAAGTCACTTCGTCCCAGCCAGTGGGGAGACCATTTAGACAGCCAACTTGACCTTAAGGTCAATCTACGGGTACAAAATGTCCCCCATGCCTTCATGCTACTCCAATGCATCCAAATACAGTACTGTACTAGTACAGTGTACCTATGGACACACAATATTAAGCAAACGCGTGCGCGCACAGATAAACACACCCGAAAACAATACTTCCGCACCGGAGGTAATGAGACCAGTCGGACCGGTGTCCCTACCATAACAATACCGCCGCCTGTTGCGTGTGACCTGCATACGTACAATTTTAATCATCGGCCCAGTGGCACAAGGACGAAGCGACACAATTTACGGGTCGCGATCGCAAGGTAAGGTTGTCTGTGACTTTGTGTCTTCTTAGCTTATAAGGATGTTAAGAGTTACAGGGACACTTGGGTGGATTGACTTAAAGACTGATTGACACATATGTAGTTGTGTTTGTTACAGTTTCAATACCAGAATATTTGATTATATCGTAGTGTTTCAGACTCATACATTGCACGCTTGTGAATATTCAAGTATCGGAAATGTTAACACTAGTAGAGTGCAACACCTGTGTGTTTCTGGACAACACTACAGGCGATACATATAGCCCAGTCGCCCATCAAAACTGTGTTACCCCCTCCATCCTAAGACAACTTACGATTAGCAAGGCACCTTCAGCAAGACTCTCATAATATACTAAGTTTATACATGCATTGCTTTTTAAATTTTCGGCAGTGACTGGATCATGTCCTTGCTATAGCTAGCTATGTCGGTATGCAGAGAAAAGACTAGCTAGTATGACATTAGTACAGACATATATGGAGGTTAAGACAATTATTTTCCAATTCCCTAGTGACACAACAACATTACTTATTCATGATGAGCCTTTTTCTGTTTTGGTCGGCATATTTTATTACCACTAGACATTTTTCTGAGCACATTTCTTGAAAAGGGGCACTATTGAGTAGGTAGCTATGACACCGTCCGCACAGACCAGATCAATAGCCATACTCATGATACTGATCGATTTTAATACTACTAATGGTGAGAACATGTAGGAAGGGGGGAGGGGCTAATTTGTCTCTTGTGTGGTTGACTGAACGCATGACATCACCCTTTACGGTCAGTGACCGAATTTTACTACGATCGCGGGAACTAGTAACAACTATGTCTGCGAGTTTATTTATTCCACAAAAATCTTCGTTTAGAAAGCACCCTAGGACATCTTTCCTTCAAATTTAAAGGAAATACTGATAAAATTGCACGTGTGATTATTTTCCAGATACTTTGAAACGATGTCTCGTTTGAATATTAGTAGCCTTCTCCAGAGGCACCAGCCTAAGGCGCTCTCAGCCCAGCAGGTAAGAACAGAAGACAAAGTTATACCTGTAAACTATGGTGGGACGGTCGATATAATGGATATATACATAGATATGCTGGAATGCAGTTATACGTATACTGTATAATCCAATTCATCTTTTGTGATTTATTTTTCGTAGTTAATGATATTCACGACCATGTGGGCAGGCTTATCACAGAGTTTGTCTTATTATGTTTTAACTTTTTTTACTAACAAGATCAAATCACAATTTTTGTTCAGAATTGGTATAATGTCAATATCAAAAAGATAATCTTTTGCAGTCATTTTATACAGTCTTATATCATTTTCATTATGTTTTTCTAACATTTACCCAGGATCTGCAGGACTTGGCTGACGTCCTATGTCTGGCAGCCAAACACGGTGATCTCACGGGCGTCATGAACGCGGTGGAGAGCGGAGCTTCTGCCAACCTGGCCAACAGGGTAGGGAAGACAGAATGAGAGAGACCATGGATGGATGAATAATGCTTTTGTGCGTGTTAATTGGGCATAGCAGCATATGTATTAAGTACACAACCAAGAGGTTGTTTTCAGTGTCGTTTGTGTGTGTGTGTGTGAGTGTGTATGTTATTGTGCGTGCGTGCGTGTGTGTGTGTATGTGTGTGTGTTTGTGAATGTGCTTGTATGCGTTTGTGTATATGTGTGTGTTTTTGTGTGTATGTGTGTGTGTGTGTGTGTGTGTTATTGTGTGTGTGTGTGTGTGTGTGTGTACATTGTATGTATCTGTGTGAGAGTGTGTTTGTGTATATGTGTGTGTTTTTGTGTGTATGTGTGTGTGTGTGTGTGTGTGTGTGTGTTATTGTGTGTGTGTGTGTATGTATCTGTGTGAGAGTGTGTTTGTGTATATGTGTGTGTTATTGTGTGTGTGTGTGTGTGTGTGTGTATGTATGTTTGTATGTATGTTCGTGTGTGTGTGTGTGCGTACGTGTGTGTGTGCCGCACGTGTGTGCGCGTGTTAGCGTGTGTGTGTGTACGTGTGGGCGTGCATGCGTCGGTGTAGACAACAGTCCTTGTTCTGACGGTGTTGTGTGTGCCTCCAGGCGGGAGTCCTGCCGATCTGGGCGGCGGTGGACAGCGACCGTGCCTGCATCAGCGTCATCAGATACCTCCTGTCTAGGGGGGCGGACGTACGGACCAGGAATAAGGTAGGAAAAAGAAAGAAGTAAAGTGATCTCCAAGCTGATCTTTTGGTGGTTGCAAAGACAGTGTCACATTGGACAGGCAGTATCAATAGGCTAGGCAGTTATTAAACATGCCTAGAATAAAACCCGCGAAAAATAAGCCGAAGCCTAAATTTGAATTAAACCTCTGCTTGGAGAGTACGAATCATGAACAGGGGAGGGCTAAGATAATCAAACTTTCTTGGTTTGTTGGCCGGTGTTCGGTAATAGATGAACGCGTGTACGGGGGTCAAATTTGACTCAAATGTACTGTACTAATAGTCATATCTTTAACTGTTTTATGTGCATTTCTACTTGTATGTTTCTTTTATCTATATGGGCCATGGATGCCTGATGAAATAAAGAACAAAGAAAAACATAGAAAAGTAGGCGTGTCCTAAATCTGGTCAGACTGGTCCCGACCTTCAGCCAGCCTCGGTCGGTTGTTGTTCGGGGGACTGTTGTTCTGAATATGTGACACGGGCTTTGTCCTCCTGACCACAGAAGGGGGAGACGCTGCTGCGTGTAGCGGGTTTGAGGGGCCGACTGGACATCGTGAAGGTCCTGACTGACGCCGGGGCGGGACGCATGGAGCAGTCGGTAAGTGAACAGTACTTTATCCAGAATCGCACTAATGCTGAGGTCACATTTCCAAACCGTGGCCCGGCCGGGCTGTTTGTATGAACGAAAAATCAACAATTCTTATCGGGAATAGAAACAAATACTAGTAGTACATGTTATTGTCTTTCAAACTTTTGTGTTTTAGTGCCTTTCATATAGTACTTTTCGTTCCCGAAAGCGGCATTGGGAAATCGGTGACCTCAGCATCAGACACGGTGGTTCTGGATGGTCCACGCGTATCCAGAACCGTGCACCGGGTACATCTACATTCTTGGATATGCAGAGACTATCCAGAACCGTGCCTAGTCCTTACTGGCCCATTCAGGCAGGGATCGAGAATTGTCAGTAGACTTGGTTCTAGATGCATTAGTGAGCATATATGTTACTACCCAACAAGCGGTTAATTTTGATATGAAGTGCTAATCATTCAAATCATGATCTCCTTTGCATATATAATGAAGACATTGTATGAATATACCTTGAACCCATTAACATATTTAACGTATCACCAGCCTAGCTTCATGTTAGATATGGATATCTCTCTAAGGTTTTGTCAGTCTTCCTGCCTGACGTTCTAACCTGATACTCTAGCCATGTTAGACAAAATGTCTGGAGCCACCGTACTAGTGAGGACGAACTGAACTCAATTGAACTGAACTGAATTGAACTGAACTGAACTTCTTACCTGTCTCAGACACAGAATGGAAGCGAGGGCGAAAGGTCAAACTATGACGTCATGTACACTGTGGTGCGAGACCTGGATGGCCCTTGTCAGGTTAGACATTGTTTGTTTATTTGTTTATCTTACATTAATTTACACCATAGTTTCTATTTCTCTTTTTCCGCTTCTACTCCTTTACAGACGTATACTGTCGTTGCGTGTACATTTTATTAAATGTGTTCTGTTTTTTTTTCTTCATAGAAAAAGGACCCGATGAGACAGCTGCAGTGTTAATGACCTGATGTTGTATATAAGATTGCTTGTACAAATGTATCTTGCTGGTTGTTGTTGCAATAATCTACAAAGGGGAAAATTTGACATGATATTATAGTTACTACTTAAACTGGGAATGGATTGAGTGTACATAGAATGATTGAATGGTTTCATACTAACGCAGTATCTCTGCTTTGGGGGCATTTTACCTATCGATATTCCAGCCACTTGAACCCTGTAAGCTGTACGTGTTGGTGCAAAATCTCTCTTGGAATAAACACATGCACATTGCATTGTAATGCTGTTTCTTTTATTTTTCTTTTACCACGTGTACTAGCGCTCCGAGCGGTCCTTAAGGGAACTGCAGAAGGCCCCTGAATATAAACATTCGGAAACAGACACACTCATGCACACAAAACCCGTCATTTTTTCATGAGGGTAACAATGAAAGTTGCTGATTTTATAAACAAATTTTTAAAGTATCTTCATCCTAACTTTACCGGGCTTGGCTGTACTGTGCAGTCCCATTATCATTGTGTTGAAAAGACATCCGAAAACAAGACATACATGTGGTCGGCATTTAAACTACAAGTCTGGTCTCTCTGTCCCTGGTTAGCGTTTTTGTCGGCTGGAATTGGCAGCACATGTCCGGGCGCTGGCTCAGATGGAGTCGCCTTGATCTTGACCTCTCCGCGCGGCGGGGTGCTGACATGTTGTCGTGATGTACGGAACTGTTTAGATGAACATGGACCTCAGCCGACCGGGATTATCTCGTACATACACTGTAGTCAGCATACGTACAGTACTGATCAGGCCAGTTAGCTGTTGGCTTTGTAACGTCGATGAAGGTAAAGAGATACACAAGGAAATTGTTTCTCAAGCAAGTGGTTAGGTTTTGAAAACTGTAAGATGTTTCAAGTAGCATCTTCTACTTTTCGCCGGCGCGCCAGTGACCGAGACGTATACGACAGAATACTTGAAGCGTCTGAGAGTTTTCAAAACCTGTCCAATTGCTTGAGTAACAATATTGTCCTTGTGTATCGTTGCTTTGTAACGTTATTTTCTTCGTAACGGCATTTTCTTCTCGGCTAGCCCTGTCACATATTGAACGTCTGGTAAGATTTGTCCTGACGGATTCCTTAGGGGTGAAAGACCGACCACGTGTGACCCTGGGGTAGGAAGCGGCCATTTCCTTCAGGAGTATCGACGAACAAGTGTCTCAGGGAGGGAAGGAAAACACGACTTGGACGAGATTTGCGGAATTAAAGACATCTTGCTATCATTCAAAACACATTTCATTCAACAACCTGGGTCTCACGACAGGAAACATGCGTTTGTGAGGTTTTCAGACGCCTACACTTATCTCAAACTAAGCAGATCTTTCAGTGGCTGCAAGGCAGTATCTAATTGGGGGAAGACAGTTTCAAACTGGCGACGTAGTATCCATATATATATATATCTAACCATCGCCCTAGTACATGTAGTATGAAGTGACAAATAAAGAGATACGTGTAGTAGATAAAACACATTTCTTTAGTTCTGTTGGAGTAATAATCTTTCGACACTTTCCCGCAGTGATTTTGTTGAGCATCGTGAAACAGGAAACAACAATTGTGCGGAACAACAATTGGCAGAACACTAATCGTACCCACGCCGACGATTCTCCCCTACAACACACGTCCTCCAACCAGACCAACAGTGGACCGTCCCTAGGATGGCTGACAGACATGTTCTGTGTTGTATCAGAGTACAGAAGTTTAGACAACCGTGAGACAACCGTCCGAACCACGGACATACCGGGAAGGACCGACAAATCCGCCTTAGGAAGTTAAGAACCTGGATTACCTTATCTTACACTTAAGACGGTAAAGAGGCGGTAAAATGGGGTCTACGGCATTTTAAAACAAACAGTAGAGTATAATACCTTTCTTGCTCGTTTCTTCATTTCATCTCTTTATCTTTTATCATTTCATGCCTTCCTTTCGTTGTTTCCTATATATAGCTACCCTTCCTCTAGTTTATTATTTTTTTCTTTCATCCATTCCTTACCTCCTCTCCACATATCAGTTCATGTTTTTTGCCATCCATCAGAATGGGTCAGCCATTCATTTGGTTGTCTCTTAATTTATTTTTTACCAGCATGCACGCGGAAAGGGTAACATGCTGGGGAAAATGGACTCTATGACAAGCAAACTTCCCTGGCCAATTATTTTCGAATTTAGTTGAATTTGATTCCGCGTTATTAGTCTGGTGGAGACCAGCACTTCCCTCCGTGACTGGCACGGGATGTCTTCAGTCAGCCGGGGTCAGGTCTCATCTAGATCCGTGCCAAGTACGAGACGAGAGACAGACTGCCGACGGACTGAGGGGCTACGTTTCACCACTTATAAGTTATGGGTCCTTATGGCCCGGTCACATACTTCGTGCGATTGCAAAGTGAAGGCATTCTTGGGATAGCCGTTGCATATGTCCTGCAAGATTTGGAAAAGGCTCAGACTAGACCTTAGCTGTAATACAATTCGTTTGAAACTCCTACAGCATCAAAATCGTACGACGACCGAAGACGAATTTATGTGGCAGCATTTCGCCAAAAAAGTTCTATTTTTGGGTCTGTGTGAAAAGTTTACGAACGTGAGCATGCGAGTAACTCGAGAAGCCGATTATGGATGACTGTGATATTTGGTATGTGGGTAGATGTTGGCAAAACTATGGACTTTTACAAGTTCTATGATGGCCTCCTATAAGTAGCGGCAGTATTTTTTGTACGAATATTAGACTGTCTCCTATTTGGAGTTACGAAACTTACTTGTAACCTTTTAGGAAGTTTGACGGAGGGCTACAGTTCACAAATCTCCATCCAAGCAGGTGTTGGGTAGAAGATCGTAATGTTTCCTGCATAGGGTAGCGACGTACACGTACCGAAGCTGCACCACCAGAGACTAGGCGTGTACATGCCATAAATAATAGTAAAAATCACAACTGCAGTCCCGCACGGCTACATTCCCAACTGATAGCTGGAACTGCGCGAAACTAACCAAATTAACTCATCCTGCCGTGACCGTGACGATCCGTGATGACCCGTGTAACCGGGACCCCTGACCCCGAGACGACCTCTGACCCTGAGACGGACCGGTTAGACCGTGACAGCGCGCCGTTCTGCCGGTCGTGAATGAGACCCTTTCAGTTCTCGGATGTCAGGTTCCGTATTGAGCTGTTCTGTCGCGCGACTTGATGTTCACGCTGTTCGCTTGGTCTTTTTATGTAACGTTGAGTTATGGACAGTGATTTGGTTTGTCAATGTGAGTTATCGACAGTGATTTTGTTTTGATCTTTTGGAGGCTACTAGACAGTTGGCGGCATGCCGGATTTTGGCTGGCAAAGAAAAATACACTCAGTAACAAAAGAAAGCACGATAAAAACGCCAAAAACACGTCAAGAATAAACTGAACCTCTGCATGTACATGTGGGAATACAATTTTGTGTCTTGTTTGTACACTTGAAGTCTGGCGTCAAGCAAGACTTTGTGGTAAATTTTACGAGTGTGGTCCTATGTGATCTCCAACTTCGGACAGCGAAATGGCTCATCAAACTAGCAGCAAATACTTGAACATCGCAGTTTTGTGCCAGTACTACAGGATGAGTAATAATGGTACTGAGAAATCGTGACTCACGAGTTCTCAGTATTGTTGTTCCACATCCTGACACAAAACCGCGATATAAAGTCGAAGATATCGCGTAAAAGTGAGAAAGTTTTTACCGACAACACGCACTGATGACGTCATCCCGGAGGCGTGAGTCATCACCGGAAACATTCGGTCCAAGCAGATGTTGGTTGGGAAGATTCTCTAATTAAACCAGTAAACTTGTCCCGTTTTTCAAAATTTAAAAGTTTTTTAATATTAGTCCTTTTAAATGTCATTTGTACCAAATCTATTGATGATGGGCCTTGGGGTCTTCGCATGGGACTTTTTTGTCACAGAGCTGAATGAGAGAATGAAAGAGTGAACTGCAATTTTCCCTACGCGTATCTGCTTGCAGATGACGGAGGCGTGAGTCAGACCATCAGTCATGACGTCATCACCGGAAGCCTTCGGTCGGTACCCTGCCCGAAGTTGCACGAAGCTGAGCAACTCGGGGAATCGGGATCGTACGATTGTTACCTCCTGTTGTCGGACGACCACACGCGTGAATTCCTGTCATTTCTGGCTGTCAGACACACCCGAGAAAGAATTCCACAGTTTTCTCTCACAGGAATATGCGTTTTATTTACATGAAAAAATTCTAGAAGACAAATGGACAGCTTAAGACATATCGTGACTGAGAACCAGAGTTTGCGTGTCTAAAATTTGATTTGCGTGTCTACATTTTTTTATCTACTGTTGTCGTAATTCCTTCCTGTGTTTTTACTTTTGGTACATATTTCCTTCCTTGTCCCTTCCGTATGCGAGTGTAAGTTGAAAACATACGTACTAGTACAGAATGACGTATTCTTCTTCCGAAACACGTCAATGTGGGTTGGGTTCAAAAGAATGACTGATTGAACGATATTGTTGTACATTTATGCTCTTGCAAGCTAAGTACGGGTAATGGCCCAATGAGTGTTGAAGCAGTTCGCAGGTACATGTAACGGTTACAAGATTATCTTGCTACATTCATACACAGTACTGGGGCTAATTATGCGGTAGCGCGTGCATCGAAGGATCTAAAGAAAATAATGAAGTACCCAGATTAGTCCCAACTGACCAAAAACCAACACAGTTTATCTGGCGACATTATGACAACACCCTGACAAGATAAAGTCATTAAAACGCGTGTTCTGCTAATCAATTACGGTGTCAGGCCGAACCAAAACACAACACCGCACCGTGAACTGTTATCTTAGCTCCGGATTTAGCCCTGGCTGTTTTCACTGCTTTGTGTTCTCAATTGTCCTTATTTCTGCAGGGGGATATTGCCACGAGAGATTAAGTAAATATTGCCCAATTGATGAATGCTGTAGAAACTTGACTTACATTTTATCACTGTGGTACTTACTACGAGACCAACAGAAACAGATTATTTCAAACAATTGCCACAATTTCTCCCATTATTTTACCATTTAGATGATGACTAAAAGTCCATGTTTCTACAGTAAGATCACAAAACCCACTCATTATGCAGAACGTGGGACCATTCATTGTCCACTGCCTTCAAAGAAGTCAAACCTCATAATAGCAGACCTATAAGCTCCTTGATTATAGTTATAGTTGATCAGACAGTAGTTGCTTGTTCTCTATTGCTTTACTTTGTTCTCTATTGCTTTACTTTGCTTTCTTTGACACTGTACGTGCAATTAGCCATTGGATATGATTTTGTAAATAAAGTTATTGTTGTCATGCGGAAGGCACCCCGCCCAAAACTAAACAAGCCTCGCGGATTTGCAATTCTTCTATTGTTTACAACTACAAACACAGTGTGAGGGGTGGTCAACAGGCATGTTCATTAGGGGCAGCAAATTGTCTGCCCATTACCCACAGTGTGAAACTGTGCTGCATTAAAGACTTGTGTTTGACACTCCATAAAAGTTGTCTGGAGTTGCAATGGCCTACAGATCAAGACTACATTTTGGGCGTGTTTTCAGAGTTTTACGGTCTTTCAACTTAAGAAAATAATGTTCTATCCTGGATGTCTAACCTCATTAAAAGACATACATCTGTATTACCACACTGACAGCTGTAAACGTTCAAACGTAACTTACGCAAGCTAGCATTTAAAATGACCCTTCCATTCAAGTCTACTTTCTATCGTCACAGAAAATTTCTTGTGTTTTGGGGAGTCTTCTCATTTCGTAGGGCCTCTGGGTCCGTGTTGTCTCTGCACAGATGCCGACCTTGTTTGACAACAAATATTAGCGCACATCCGATCCCAGCTACCCTGCGGCACCGCACACGACTGGGCAGGACGACACTTTGGATATGCTGTGTTTTTTCTGAGAAAATTCCGTGCCGATGCCCCTCTGTTTTTGTGGCAGGAGTTCAAGAGGTAGGATTAAAAGGACACGGGTGAGAAATTGTGTCCTCTGCCAAGCCGTGCCTGTCAGCAATGCTAGGCACACGGCCGCGCCATCCAGTGCGTCTGGCGACAATTTTCAGGAAGAGACTTTTCCTTGCCAAAAACAAGCCCACGATTTCGCGGAAGGAAAGGATTTGGGAGCGAAATGCGTACGCGTGTTCTTGCTTTGCCAAAGCCGGCCTGGCACGTCTGTTGGTAAAGCTTGTGCGAATCAGACTTTTTTTTATGACGGAATCACTTCCATCTGGGCTCGTGGTGTGGCAAGGCCGGGAAAGGACGGCCAGATTTGGGGCGTTTCCAGAACACCGTTGCCATGACGATTGGAACACCCTTGGGCGGTACCATGTTTGCGGGGAGGGGCAGCATAACATGGGGTGAATTTGAAAGAGTTTTGACAGAATATCTACATTTCATGGATACTGCTAAAATACGTTACATAAACAATACTATATAATAAACATAATTACTGCGTCATTACTCAAAAGGTAACTTTCAATCAGCGACGCCAAGCATCAATTCAACAACCAATCCCGCGGTCTCCCCCCTGCCAAAATAAATCAGTGGGCTCGTCCAGCAGGACGGCTGGAAAGAGGGCAGAATTTATCGTGCGACGGATTGTACCGGATGAGGTCGTACCGACTTCTTGCTCTGCGAGATCAAAAGATCGGGGTTCGCCATTGGCCCGCGTAATCACTTTGATTAACCCATCCCTGCGGACACACAACCGTCTGGCGGCCTCTCGAACGGAGTAAACTGTGGAGAAAGAGCCGTCCCCTCTCCTACAAGGATTCCCGGAGCTACATCCTAAATTTTCGACAAGCCGCGCGCGTGTCTGTGTGTGTCGTGTGGCCGACCGACTCCTCAGCTAACATCTGGCAGAGCAGACAATGGAATTTCTCCGAACCTGCGCCATTTTGATGACCTTCCTCCTGGGTTTGAAGGTGAAATGTACTGAAGGATGGTGGTTCTGTGGGACCATGCGGCCGGGACACGAGCACACCATCAAGCAGGGCACTGGCGACTACGCCATCACCCTAAACGCCGCCGTCACCAGGAAAGGCCTGCCGCTCCGCGTCAAAGTCACCCTGAAGGGCGGACCGCCGTTCATCGGCTTCATCCTCCAGGCCCGTACGGTACAAGAAGATCGGATCGTCGAGGGCTGGTGGTACAACCGCCCGCCGGGAACCAAGGCGCTGGACTGCAGCGAGGTGCGGGGGATCTGGAACAAGCCCGTGGTGAGCGAGGCGTTTCTGGACGAGAGTAAGACCTTCACGCGGGTGACGTTTCTCTGGGAGGCCACGAGGTGCAACATCGGGCCGGTGTACTTCCGCGCCACGGTGCTGCAGGACTACCGCGCCGTGTACGAGAACATCACGTCCAGACCGCTGGACGAGGTCTGCGGGGACCCCCCGCCCTACCCCCCGAGGGTACCGGCCCCACCCCCCACTACCACCCCCACCCCGACAACAACACCCGACAAGAAGACCACGCCTGGCTGGAGACCCATCCCCACCGCCTCTACCACCCTCCCCACTCCTACCCCCAATCCCACCCCTACTACCACCACCCTCCTTACGGAGACCTCCACCCTCCCCACCCCTGCAATTTCTCAAGATCTCCGCGCGACGACAGAGTCTGAGGGGAGCGGCGGAGGAGACGTCTTGAGTTTCACCGAGCTGACGACGAGCCCCGGTTTCACCACTTTCACTCCAGGTAAGGGGCGGTTTTCTTACTATGGTGACCTTAACGAATCGGTTTCCCGAGTTTGCGTTCTTCTGCTGACCCTTTCGTGACTCCGAATGATCGGTTTACCAAGTTTGGTTCTTTTCTTAACTATAAATTACCGGTTTACGAAGTTCTTTCTTAAGAAGAAGTTCCCTTTTAGTGACCTCAAATGTTCTATTTACCTTTTTTTCTTTTCGTGAACTGTAATTATCGATCAGTTTCCCAATTTTTCATATCGTTTTCATGGCCCTAAATTATCAGTTCATAGTAATCATACAGTATTTTTTTTTCCATCGGTGACCCTAAATGATCGGTTTACCACATTTTTCTTCCCTCTGTGACCTTGCATAATCGGTTTACCAAGTTTTGATGTCGGTGTTGACCTTATAAAATCGTTCTTTCCGCTGGTCTCTCGTGTTGTCTAGACGGAGGAAGTGCTGTAAGTACCAGAAGTACTCCAACATAACGCCCGCGTCTGTAAATGTGTTTTGTCTGCTACCAGAGAGTTCCGAATAACTTTGCGATAAGGGAAAAGAACCCTCGTCCTCTAACTGCCGGATGGTAGCCTCTATCAGGCTTCAGGCGCGGCCGAAAGGGTAGAAATTGACCAAATGGACAGATAATATGCCAGGGAAGCGGCAAACTGAACATCCTTAGCAGACTAACTCCCGTGGCATGTTATAAGTCTATTTTTTGGCCGGTTTCTACTCTTTCCAGTCGCTTCTGAAGCCTGGTAGAGGCTTGCCGGAAGGGTGGAAATGACAAGTCAACAACAACCACATGTCCCGCTCCCTCCGCTTGTTTGTGAATCAAACATTTGTATACATAATCTGACTTTTGTTTGTAAGCAACCCTGTCCTGACCAGCTCATTATCGGGTCAACATGGCCAAGTAAAGTTGCCGCTCAGTGCCATTTTATTTCCCGCAACGAGAACAACATACAGACCACGGCTATGCAATCGTGTAAATGTCGTTAATGCATTTTCCAGCATGCTTCAATGCGAATCAGCTGTGTAAAATCATCATAGTCTTATCCTGCACGAGTACAGGGACTTTCTTATGTCATGACCTAACTGGCCGGGTTTACTTATAAAATCTAGGCCAATATATTGTACCAGTATATTTTTCATTTCACGAGATCTTTAAACTCGTTACATAGCACTGTTTAGTGTTTACCAACTTGCCATTGTACCAGTTACAATTGTCGTCCTATAAATTTGATTGATAGATTCTGTTGAGTGGAGGGATTTGGGTAAAACGTAGTTTTTTTTATTGTGCAACAATTGTAAAAATAATAAAAGATACTTCTCGAACTTAATTGAATTGTATAGGAAACTAATATACTGTTTTCACCTCTTGGGGCACAGTTACAACAAGCGCACCGACGGAACCACCGACAACAACCACAGCTACCCCCACCCCTCCCCCCACTACCCCCCAGGGGCCCCCCGCCCCACCCCCTACCTGTCCCCAGACCCTGCAGAACGGTCGGGCCAGACCTGAACTGGAGCCGGACGGACTCGGCAGGCCGACAATCACCATGCACTACGCATGCGCACCAGGGTACGAGTTAGTGGGGCCTTCCAAGATCACCGGCTGTGAGGTGAGTTTTTCTCAACTTTTATTTTGTGTCAATTTGATAATTTTCCTTATAAAGAAAAACCTTTTGTTTATGGACAAGAACAGTTCTTGACACCGCCAAATTAAGCAAAACATTTTATCTAACATTTTGCTTGATGAATAAATACACGAAAAGATAGATAATTAGATGGGTAGATAATTTGTAGAATCTTCAATATGAAAAGAATTACATCACCTTAAAAGCATCTAATTAGAAGAGAAACAAAGGGCGTTAACTGTAGTGTAAACACTCACTCACCATAATCCAGCCTAACCCACTTACGGCATTGTGAAAATAAGATGAGACATCCTTACATCAACACGGTTAGATTGGACGGACGCCATGTCCCGCTACTGTATACCTTAGCTCCGGGGAAAAGAAAACGCACACGCTTGTACCTGGGCTTGTAAAAGAAACATTTCCTACATTTAGCGGCAGGTTGTCCCGGGAGGTTATGTTTGTTTGACCGCTGATAACAGACGTGAAGCACCTGCTCGTGTGTTTGGCTTTACAAGACAGACGAAATGTCAAAAACCGGGACGGCACCCTCAAATACCTTGGCCTGTGGTATCCAGAACCGTGCTTCATCCAGAACCGTGCTTCATCCATAACCGTGCTTCAGCCAGAACCGTGCTTCATCCAGAACCGTGCTTCAGCCAGAACCATCCACAGACACGGTTCTGGATAGTCCACGCGTATCCAGAACCGAGCATGGTGCAAATACTAGTAAACGATTTCTCCTAAGAAAAATTACACAAAAAGAGAAAGTCGCATGCAACATCGCAACCACAAAAAGAAAATTGAAAAGCGAGCAACCGAGGCATTAAAAAGATGAAAGAATGGCCCTAATTTACTTCGGCAAGACCTCTTCTGCTTGTGTACTTTAGGTATGCTCTTTTAACCGTAATGGGAAGTTTGCTCGATGTATTGCATTTATAAAGAATTTGCTTTGTAAAATCTAAGCTAAGCTTAGATGCGATGCTGGTTTTCTATTGGGCCCAAAATGACAATAGATATTGCCGTATGTTCTGCAGTATGGTATTGTAGTTGTGTAATGTTCCCTTGACTCCACTGACCGCACTTAGCACGTTTCAGCAGGAATTTCTCGACTGGAGTTCCCAACTTTGTTTTTCTCGTCATGCCGATAGGTTGTTGGTCTCTTAACGGGCGAACCAGTTTGTCTCCCAGCGGGCTAAGTTTGGACACAAACAGCCGGAGCGGTTTTCAACTCCCCGCGAAAGTTTGGACTAGTTAGTCGTCGTGGGCTTTGAACCATGTGTTAGATAACAAGGTGTAGGGACAAAAGTTGTTGTTTTTTTCAAGTCTTTATAAAGTTTTCAACAACGATACGCACAAGCACAAACACGCACAGAGAAAGGGAGAGAGAGTCAAGTGCACCACTTCACTCCTTTGTTATTAAGTTACAACGCTACGTTCCCTGTATTTTTAAACGAATCGTACTCAGTAAAGAGGTAAAGGTAGTCCCGTATCCTTTTCCGGGTCGTCGGGGCAGTGGCTGGGTGATTCACTGTATCAAGGGCCCATCCCTCTCCTTTTATTGCCTTTTACCTCCCCAACCGAAGTCAGGTACCCATTTTACAGCTGGGTGGAGTGAGGAAAGTCGTGTGAAATGCCTTTCCCAAGGTCACAACGTCTAACCAGTGATAGCAAGGAGCTTTCATGGAAGCTCCTTGGTGATAGAAACAACTGCCTACAGACTTGTTAAAACGTCGGGCCCGGTACGAAGTGGGCGTGGGCAGGCGGCCAGTTTGTGGTCGCGGGTCAGCAGAGGTCTGGTTAAACGGAAACTTGTCAATCTTTCATAACAACGCGCGGGAAGCAGACGGGCACAGGGGAGCGTGCCGCAGTCGTGGCGTCAACGTCAGACGAAGTCTATTTGTTTGTGCAGACCTTGTGGAGATGTCTAGACAAATAGGCTTGTATTTTGCTAGTAATCTTCTTATAGATTTTATTGCTTAATATTGCTATTATCAGTCAATAGCATCATTTAGGTAGTTAATACCGAACCGTGCTTTATCCAGAACAATATATATTAATGTTCAGTTCTGGATAGTTCACGCGTATCCAGAACCGTGCATGGGGCGAATCTACGCGCCTAATCCTAACCCTAACTCACACAGGCATAGAACCAGATAGGCACGGTTCTGTATCATATGCAATAGAGACCATTGGGTGGGAAGGAAAAGTCCAGCCTAATTGTACATTTGGTGGAGAATAGATTTCTGTATGGTCCCCGACTTTCAGGAAGTGGAAGGTCTGGCCGCCACATTCCTGGTCTTATCATCAGGCCTGTAGCAAAACCTGGGCGTGTCAATGTCAGCTCCACGGTTAGGGTGAAGGTCTTGATACTTCGTCGTAAAAGTCGGGAAAAATTGTAAGCCGTTCTTTGAAAGATGTGAAGTACGCTGTATGTTGTATCCACGATTATAACTATACTTAATTTTATATCATCTCTGACTAAAACAATATTATATATATGGTTATATTATTATATAAACGTACATGTAGGGAAGGAGATGTTTTTTGTCTTGACCACTGTTATCTTTGCTCTGTTTTATATGCAATCACTTAAATCACTGAAATGAAATATACTATGAATGATACTCTCCAATCAGAGGTTTATGTTCAGGCTTATTATTTGTGACGTCCTTTTAGGCGTTTTCGTCTGGCTTTCTTTTTGTGTGTCGGTATCTTTATTTCACCAGTACAGTCGAGGACGTATTGGATACAACCCTGCCAGTTTTATACTGTCTTGTCCATTTGATACTGCTTTGTATGTAGCCACCAAAAGATCAGGTTGGACAGTTGTACCAGTGTGTGTCCGAGTTTAACTGTTTCTTTAATTGGTGCTGGGAGATTTCGTGCCTCGGTGTGACATACCGGGGGATATCTTTAGGTCGTCCTGTCCGACTAACCTCCGAGACCTCCTCTTGTTGTATCCATATAACCGTGCTTCATTCAGACCCACGCTCAGACACGGTTCTGGATAGTACACGCGTATCCAGAACCGTACCTCGGAGCAACTCTGCGTTCTTGAACACGTCCAAAATCAGGCACAGAACTAGGTAGGCACATGGAGGTAGAAAAACAACTGTGTCTTTTAACTCCATGGTAGGCACGGTTCTCGATACCATAGAGACTATGCAGAACCGTCATTGATTCTAACCCAGTAAGGCATAAAACTAAATCCTGAATGTGTGATATCCAGATAAGCAATATTTACAGACAAACAAATCTCTTCAACTGTACAAGAACCGATATAACTTCCGGGCACTTCCAGCGACATTAACGTTTGTTTTGAGTCTGTAGAACCTTGGGCACCTTCGGGATTTTCTGTACACTCTCATCCTACGCAACGTTCTTACCAAATCCTTATAAGTAGCAAATGGTTCTTTTAACATAAGTACTTTCAGAAGGCGAAGATTCCTAAGAAGTTTGTATAATGCGGAAAATGTCAGGAATTGAGTTGTTAAGATAGCGTGGGCCCAGGTCGAACGACTTGGTGAAAAGATACCAATCTCAACCTGGCTTCCTGAAATATTATATACTCTCTCACTGGTGCTGGGTAGACAGAAAGACGCTGTGCACAAGTAGGTACAGACGTTCAACGTATAAAATAGAATTCTAGCCTCTACCAGGCTTCGGGAGCGGCTGCAAAGAGTAGAAATTGGCAAAAACGACAGGGGAGCCGGTCTGCTAAAAGGTGCAGTTTATCGTTCCTGAAAAAACTATCCTCCTCGATCTAGTGGACCAACTCCCCTGACAAGTTATCTCTGTCTATTTGGCCAATTTCTACCCTTTTCAGCGGCTTCTGAAGTCTGGTAGAGGCTGATAAAATTTACCTTTTACTAAACTTAAAGGTGTTATCAACTGCCAGTTTCAGTACAAAGAACAGGTAAATTTTATCACGACTCTACGACTCTGTATTTAAGGACTGACTACAAGTCTTTCTGGTAGCGTGCGCGCGAGGAGATTGAGTAATGCCGATGGGGAGTTGTGTAACGCCCTTCTGTAGTCTCACAGACACAGTTTACACAATCACGATCCGGGAATTAAACACACCAAACATCAGGCGTATCCTCGGCTGAGTGACAAGGGGCAGCTTGTCGAGAGGGACTAAACAAACACAGAACGTTTTTCGTCTGTCCGATGGTCTTCTACATAGTAAAAATTACGAATGTTGGACGCTGCTTTTATGTGTGTGTTTTTTTTTGGCCACGATGCATCCGGCCCAGGGCGTTGGGCAGAATTGAGGGAATTAGACCGAGTCGTCCTGATATAAAAAAAGTTTTTGGACCCCATTCATGACACAACATCAGTCTGACGAGCAAGAACAAATACGAAAGATCTAATACTGAATGCAGTGACAATTTTCCTATTCTATCAATACATCATTCGTTTATACAAGCCTCTGTCTTAGCTCAACTCAGTTCAAGGACATGTTAGTAGAACAGAAGTCACAAAGGTTACTGGGCTAGATTAAGTGTTTATATCGGTGCTTATTTCAAGTCGGCAGCTGTTTTGATGTATTATGTTGAAAGGGAACTGAACTGACTTGATAATTTCTATTAGTGGTTCGCTTTGTATTAAAACTTCTCAAAAAAGTTGCACAAATTTTGTATATTATGGACGTTGCTGGCACTTCATCCTTTAGAGCATTACGGTATATTGAAGTCGGCAGTTGCCTTGAAGTGCGAAGGAAGCAGGGTCAATCTGCAAACCAAACTGACCTGACACGATGCCGCCGAGGTCGGTTTTCTATTTAGAACTGTTTACCGGCCGGCCGCCAGCGGGCATTTTTGTCCCACCGCTGACTTTTTCTCTGACAACCGAATAAACACTTGGCAGGACTCGGGTTTCTCCCAACAAAACTCGCCAGTGTGGACAGGGAAGAAAAGGCCAGCGGTGTGTTCTAAACACGGGTCGTCAGAGACCGGCTCTGCAAGCACGTGCGAACCGCACTGCACACCAGTAAAAACCACCGGATGTTTGCTCCCACACCACAAACAAGTCGTGAACTGTCTTTGTCTTTTTTTTCTGAAGGATACGTATGTGCATTTACTGAACTGAACTAAACGCTAACCTTTATTTACATGGGGACGTATAATTATATATTTGTCCAGAAGTTGCTTGTGTCAGATTTTTCTTGTGTATCTCTTTACCTGGATATCTAACCTTCATCGACGGTTTGTTAGTTGGTTTAAACGTTAGTTAGTTTGTTGGTTGTCTAGTTGATTGATTGATTGATTGATTGATTGATAGTTTTTAAAGGGTTAATTCTGTATTTTTTTCCTTTTTCTTACCCTCAGTTACCACCAATACCAATACTACCACAGAGATTGCCTAGAGATCTGCGCAAGCGCTCTGTGGCCGGACCGATGTTCGAGGACGTGACCTCACTGACCCTTGACCCCGCGGACGGATCCAACCCGAGCCAGCGGTACTACGGCATGACTGTCACTGACGTCAACAGGGACGGCAAAATGGAGATTTTCGTCGTCAGGTATCCAGGAACTATTTTTTTATACGATTTTTTTATATACATCTATTCATCAATCACAAGTTCGTTCAGACAACTGACAATCGCTGTGACGTAACAATGTCCGCCATATTGGTTGAAACAACTTGGTTGAACTCAGAAGTTGATTTGACTGTATGTGATTGGCACCTTCATGGTTTAACCAACTAAGATGGCGGCTCTGACGTCAAACATTCTACAAGACCAAGGGCATTATCTAACATGATTGACAGGATACAAATGAAGTGGTATGTTTCTGTTCTCGCTTACACATTTTGATTTCTCTTTCATTGGCAGCTATGGCAGCCCAAATCTCGTCCTCAAATGGAATCCCGAGACGAGACGGTACGAGAACATCGCAGTGAACAACCCAGAATCCCCTTACTACTTCCTGCGTGACCCGGAAGGAAATGGCATCAGTGTGGCCGCTTGTGACATTGACGGAGATGGGTAGGACGTCAGAATATTGGTTAAAATTTTCTGTGTGCATTTTTGTCGTTGTTAGGATTGCATGTTTGTAAAACGATAAAATATAAAACAACCTGATCTTCTAGCGTAAAAATTATTCTAATATTCTAACAGAAGCAAAATCCATATGCAAACGGGTAGTGATTATCAGCTGCCGCCATGGACACTGCTACCCTTTGTTTTGCCGCAAGGTGTCGCTGCAATATACTTAATTTCCCCTGACAAGTTTGCGAACGGTTGGCAGGTAGAAAAAATAAAACATTTGGTTTCGTTGAAATAACTTTGACTTCAAGTGACTTCCCAGTCCAATGAAGCTTGATCAGAACATCATACGATTTCCAGTTCTAAGTTTTCACATCTTCTTGGAGATTTACGCTTCTTGTCCTTGAGAAAGTTACCACCTTGTGAGAGTGAAGGTCGCACCCCGACTTGGAACAAGCATAGCCAGGATTCCTGAGATCCGTATCTGCCGCCCTCGCGGCTTAATTGTGCGAAGAAAGAATTCCCCGAATGGCTGGAACTGTTGCTACAACTTTAGCTGCAGGGTGGATCCGCACGGTAGGCCAGATGGTCAGACTGGCAGCTGACATGAGCAACATGTTACACTCTGATCTTTCCTACAAAAATGTATTTCATCTCTGCTCATCTATCGATATCCCCCAGTCTAAGAAAATGCTACAGTACTAGAAACTGCTAGAGATGGCTATTGATGACAAACAGTGGAAGCATTGTCCTTAGCTAGCTTTCAACGGGCTAGCAGCAGACACTATCGGATCAACATGTTAGACTGATCTGTCCTTCAAAAATGTCTTTCATCTCTGCTCATCTATCCCTTAGTCTAAGAAAATGTTACAGTACTAGAAACTGCTAGAGTTGGCTATTGATGACAATCAGTGGAAGCATTGTCCATAGCTAGCTTTCAACGGGCTAGCAGCAAATACAATCGGATCAACATGTTAGACTGATCTGTCCTACAAAAATGACTTTCATCTCTGTTCATCTATCCCTTAGTCCAAAACTAGTCTGCCTGAAATGCTACAGTAGTAGAAACTGTGGACTGTTGATGCCAATCAGCAGAAGAATCCTCCTTCGCTAGCTTTCAACGGGCTGGCAGCTGAGAGGATCAACATGTTAGACTCTGATCTGTACTGCAAAATGTCTTTCATCTCAGCTGATCTAACCCTTAGCCCAACGAAAATGTGCAACTGTTACAGTTAAGTGTAAAGGTTAAATCGTTGGTTATTGATGACAATCAGTAGAAGGGTCGTCCCTAGCTAGCTTTTAACGGGTTTGCTGCTGACAGGATTGAACATGTTACAAAATGACTCATCTCAAAACAGTCTTGCATCCTTGTTGGTTCTTGAAAACACTGCGACATCCGAATCGTATGATTGTCTAAATGTTGTCAAATGTGTGAACGTCATCTTGGGTTGTTCTGAAATTTGGTTTGTGGCTAGGACTCCATGCATCGACAAAATAATTTTATGTTGGTACTCCGGGTAGCCTTCATTGGGACCGGTACTACAGCAGAACGTTTTTCATAGAGATTCCATCTATGTTTCGTAAAAGTTTTGGTCCAACACAAAAATTCTCTCACCTAGAGCTTTCGACCAGTCACTCTGGTCTTCCTCAGTAGACTGACCCAGTGAGGCTTGTCACGTGGCTTCTTTGAAGTGTGGCGTCACCACTGGGTCAAAGGTATCTAGTAGACGATGTCGGCCCCCGTCGCGGTTAAGTGAAGGGTGCTGGGCCCTGATGTAAATAGCCTACTTCACCCCTCTCAGGAAATAGTCTTGTTCAGTGTACAAATTGTCTATTTCATCTACTTATTTTTTATTACATGCTTTTCCCTACCTCAGTTGGGAAGAGATCTACATCGTCAACACTCAGTCCAACAGCGTGGAGGACAGCGACCTGGCGCAGGCCGACCGACTCTACCACTTCCACCAGGGGAGGTACAGGGACGTCCTGAGGGAGGAGTACAACCTGGGGCTCGGGCAGACCCTGTCCGGAAAGTCCGTGGCCTGTATAGACAGAACGGTAGGTGTACGTGTATTGAGGGTTTAATTTTCCAGAACCATGCATATCTAGTTATTAACTTGTATGCCTGAATGGGTTATCAAGATTAGGATCAGGTTCTGAATATGAGTAGTCTTCTCGTATCATAAGAACGTATATTTTCTCAAGGCACGGTTCTGGATACACCTAGACTATCTAGGACCGTGCTTAGTTCAAGATCAGGTTAGGATCAAGTTCTGGGTAGTCTTCTCGTATCCAACAACGTACTAGTATTTTTTTTTATTTGCCCAAGGCGCTGTTCTGGATACTCCTCGACTATCCAGAACCGTGCCTAAGCATGGTTCTGGATAAAACACGATTCTGGATACAACATTGTGGCTTCGGCCACCTGTCACTGGCAGACAAGGGATGTAATTTGGGGGTTACAATTTATGGATCAGGAGTCTCGAGCGGCTGCCACTTGGCGCTAACTCAGGTGACCCTGACACGGCAGCAGTTGGCCCCTGACCTGGGGCCGGCCATAAAGCTGTAGATTTGTGGTGGGTCCTGTAACATAATCAAGGTGTGGGACGGGACTGCTTTAAAGGCACCCAAAGCAACTATAAGACAGTAAAATTGAATTTTATGGACAGAAGTCAATTTTATGGACTTTTTTTTAATAATGTGTAGTAAGTTTAATAGAAGTTTATTGCAAATTCATGCCCGGGGGCTAATTGCTGATTACAAACATAAAAGAACAATGAAACGTAGTATAAAATAACTAAAATCTACATGATGAAAGGTAGTTGTCTAGAGCTATAGCTATGTCTAAAACTATGTCTAAGGGGTTTGACTTCTCTTTTAATCAACCCTATCCCATAGCATACTGTGAGACAAAGTGCGATGTGGCTGACGGAAAACGGTTTTGCTTCGTATCGTAGGCTGCTTCTAGCTATTTATTGGTGGTACAAGAAAGGTAAAAAGTTGTAACCTGGGGCACACAGATCTAGACACCATGAGACTTGACTAGCGTGACCTATAGTTGTTTGTTTATTTGTTTGTTTGTTTAGGGTTCCGGCCGGTACTCGTTCTTCGTGACGTCAGACGGCTGGAGCGGCGCGTCACACAAGATGATAGAGATGGACATGGACGACAGTGACGTCACCGCCGGACGCATCAAACTCAGTGACGTAGCGGGAGAAGTCGGCGTCAACTTCTTCGCAGGTATGTCATAACATGTCGTTTCCAGAATCGTGCTTAATCCAGAACCATGCATGCCCAGGCACGGCGTATCCAGAACCGTGCCAGAAAAATTACTGCACAATGTTTCCAGGAGGCTGGTTCTAGCTATTTATGGGCGGTACCCCCAAATAAAAAGATGCCGCACGTAGCTTGCTTTTGGCCTACAATGTATTTCAAACGCTCCAAGTATTAAATGATGGCAGTGTGATGTCAATATTAGACAGATATCCTCATACATAGTATTTTTCGATTTGCCGCCCTTGAGTTGGATTGAGTGCCTTTAAAGCTTGTGTGTTGTTCCGTGTTCTCCAGGGGGGTTCGGTGTGGCGGTGGGACCGATCGTCAGCGACACCGGTATGTCCGACATCTTCGTCGCCACTGACGGCAAGTCCCCCAACCTGCTCCTCAAGAACAGGGGAGACGGCACCTTCGAGGAGGTGGCGGAACCTTCAGGTAAGCATAGGTCTAGACCCATCGGCCGGGTCGTATAAACCCCCCACTGTTACAATAGTACAACCTGTCTTGAGTCATCCTGATTAGAAGTCTCCAACAAAATCACTCCTGCAGTTCAAACGAAAACCGCTAGGATACCAAGATCTATATCCCTTTTTCGAGCGCAAAGGCTGAAAGAAAATGTATATTTTTGTCACTGATCACTACAGGTATACTGGACGCAAGGCTCCATGACGACCACTGGCATTCCAGAAAGAGCCGCGGGGTGGCGCTCGCGGACTTTAACGCGGACGGAACGCTTGACATCGTCTACGGGAACTGGATGGGTCCTCACCGGCTGTGGGTGCAGACACGGGCACAGGACGGCAGACACATTTTCAAGGTTTGTTTGTTTCACCAGGAAATATGTGTCACCTGTTGGTGATTTTCAATAACTCCTGGGAGAGGGGGAGAGAACCCCGACGTAGAATAACACATGATAACAAAGGTCATCTTCTAAAATACAATGTTGCATGCATTTGGCCACACACATGCACATATACTCATGGGTTAAAGACACCAATCATGTCAGTACTATAAAAGAATTCCTTTCCCCAAGCAGTACGTGCTACGAGCTAACCACGCCCCCTGGCGTCTCCACAGAACGTTGCAGGGAAGAACTTCCAGCGCCCGTCTCCGGTCATGTCCGTGTTCGCCGCAGACTTCGACAACGACGGCGCCACGGAGGTGTTCTTCCAGAACGTCGTCAACTGGATCGCCGGGAGGATAGCGCCCAACACGCTGTACAGGTGAGGATGTATAAAGTATATGGGGGAGAGGAATGAAGGGAGGAATGGATGGTTCAGCGACATCAAGGAGTGGTCGGGAAAGACTGCGGCCCAACTCACCAGATTAGCAGATCACCGCCAGAGGTGGAGAACTTGTGTGGACTGCCTCACGGTGTATAGCTATGGGACTGAGTTAGTGTAGAGACAATGAAAGCGTTTAACTTCCATTTACGGAAGTATTGTTTTGGGCGGCTGACATGCGAGTTTGTGTGTTTCATGTCCAACTAGCGACGGTTTCATGAAGGGTGGGAGGTGGTTTTGACGGTTAATTGATAAGGGCTAGGAAGGTCAAGCTAGCCTATGTAAGCATTATGTGACAATACTCTACGTTTGCTGATACATGAATGTACGTTTCCCAACCTGCCATGTCCCCAGAGTGCGCCAGAGGGATGCCGGGAAGGTGCCCGTGTTTGACCAGTTGGATGCCGGAGACGCAGTGGAGGCGGGAAGATACGGGACAGGTGAGAGCGGGATTATCTTACTGACAGATCTGACTCTTCAGAGAAGTTATCCAGTTGCCTGATTTACCTTTTGTAGTATATAAGTAAGCTCTCCAAACATCTTCGCCCATTTCTTTACACTGAATTGAGATGAAAGCCAGAAACTCAAAGTAAAAATAGAAAGTTACTTATTTACTGTCGAGTTAAAAGGTGAAACGTAATGCCTCCAAATACTCTTTGACCTCCTGACCTTAAATATGACCCTGTGACATAACATGACCTATAACCAACAGGTAGTGTGATAGCTGACTTTCACCATGAGTATAATTAATTCTGAATGCCTTTTTATCCATGACATATAAGTATATATGTGTAATTTTATGTGCTTTAATAAAAATTAAAATTAAAAAAAATGAAACCATGTCTTCCTGACCTCTGACCTGACCTCCCAGGCGGTGTGACAGCTGACCTTGACCATGACGGACAGCTGGAGCTGCTGCTGTCTCACGGCCCTGACCTCCCGGACACGCTGTCCGTCCACAGGCCGCGGCTCGGCAAGCAGAACAACTGGATCAGGGTCCTGCCGAAAACTAGGTAGGCAGAAGTAGAAGAAGGGGACAGACGGTCACCGGAACGTCAGCGTGTAAATGTCGTTGTGTCGTTTATATGTGGGTTTCTTTGTTTGCTTGCTTATTTGTTTGTTTCTTCGAGGACAAGGCAGCATAATTTTGGCCATCTCAAATCTGATTGTTGAGAGTCAAAGAGTTTATTTTCCCCTCTATTCAAACAAAGTATAATTGGCTAGATACACATCATCATTTTTTAAAGTAACAATGCGTTTTCCGGTCCCTTATACCCCAGTGGGCCACACAGTGTTGTTTACCAATATTAAGAGGGTCTATTTTTCTCTAATTAAACATTTTTTAATGATTATGTCGTTTCTCCCCCTGTAGACACGGTGCGCCTGCCCGAGGAGCTCGTGTCGTCATCAGAACTTCCGGCGGCGCCTCGCAGGTCCGCGTGGTGGATGCCGGGACGGGCTACCTGTCCCAGGCCGAGCCGATCGCGCACTTCGGGCTGGGCTCGGGAATCCTCGCCACCGAACTGGTAGGTCACGTGGCCGAACGGACGAAAAGCCGGGAAGGCGCTGTCCCCCGCCGACAACAACAAGGCGATCGTGGTGGAGTATCCGTACGGATACCTGGAGGACGATCCGGAGCTCTTCCCGCTAGACAGCCCGACCGGAAGTGTGGACGGAAGTGTGGACAACTCGGTTGCAGGTGCTGGAACGCCAGAGAGCAACGTCATCAACGAAAACGTCACGGCCCCGGCGCCAACCACGCTGTCACCGGGGAATTACGTCATTACGGAAAACGTGACGCCGTTGTCAGAAGGTGACGTCGTCACGGAAATCGAGAACAACGTCTTCAACCAAACCGTCGCGGTTACAGCGCCTACGACGCATGCTCAGGGCATTCTAACCACGGCGACGTTCACAACAACGACGGCGATGCCAGCGACATCAACAGCGACCCCTACCGTTTCGACGCAAAAAGTGCAGAATCTCACGACTGCCAAACCAGAAATACCCACAACAAAGTCACGGTCTCCAACGGTAGGTCACTTAAAAGTTAAAGTTCCCGTAGTGCTAAGTATCTATTGGTGTATGAAATGACAGCTTCCATGGAAGGCTTGACATTCTCATTCTGAGTCACTTCAGAGAATCTGTCGCGTTGTTCGAATTATTCTGTTCACGTTATCTTTATCCTTCCTGTACGTTGTGTCAATAAAGAATCCTTCCTCCTGCAGCTAGAAGAGATCGAGGTTATCGGCCTGCAGTTGCCGCGGTGCGAGCGGATCCAGGCCACGTGTGACGCGCCGGAACTGCCGAACGGACGCTGGGAAGTAAGCAGAGCCGCCTTCCCCCTGACCTTGGAGGGGGAAACACGCGACTCCAACGGGCTCACAGATGGTACGCTATTGCTTGAAATCACGTGACTATGACGAAATTCAAATTCCGCCATGTTGCCTGCTTAAAGAGAGATGTCATATTGTCTTGGTCTTGACAGTCCTCATAGCACAGTATGCCATTGGCTGCTTAAAGTCGCGTGACGATGAAATAAAAAAAGAGGTATCAAATTGTTCTGTTTTTAACAGCTCTTGTTTCATTTTGTATAGTGCTTTGAGTTTTTTTCTTATCATATCTCTTTATTTCATCAGCCGCGGAAGAGCGTTTTCAGTTCCTGGACATGTTGACTTTCTCGTGTAAGGAGGGTTACCAGCTGAAGGGCGAGAAAATGGCGTTTTGCGGCAAGAACGGGGAGTGGCAAGTCCTGAGCAGGAACCCCGAGTTGCCGACCTGCGTCCCGTTCACCACAGGTTGGTAAAGCAATTCTACATAAACAATGCCAGTGGGAAGGGCACTTTCCTCCCATTTCCTAACTCGACAGTAAAAATGAGTACCTAACTTCGGTTGGGGACGTCCTCTCGGACAGGATATAAAGTTGGTGGTCCCGCGAACCACACCTTGAACATGAACTCCAATCGCACGCATGCACTTATCGAATAGATGGAGTAGATGTATGTCCATCCCGTTGTGGGTGAATCAAACCTCACAGTCTGGTCTTATATAGCCTGTACTGGTATGGTGCGTTCGACCTTACTAGCATTCACAATGCGAAACTAAGAAAACATATTTTCATTCTTTTTTTTATACATTTACTTCGACAGTTAACCCGGTTTCTTTGTTTTCCCGCTCAGACGTAAGTGGTAGCGAGGACACGTGTGTCGACGTCTACACGGGATGCAGGAATTTCGTCACGTTCTGTTCCCTTGGCAACCTGTACCTCAGAACCAACTGCAGACGGACGTGCGGCTTCTGTTAGAACCGACGCGGGGCGATCTCATTGGTCCGCGCGTTGTTACGTCGCGTTCTCAATGGATTTCATTGGTCCACCCTTTGTTACGTCTTGTTCGAGCGATTTCATTGGTCCACACGTTGTTACGTCATGCTTTAGGGTCATCATCGCATTTACGCTTTGCCATTTCAGTATGTTTAAAAAAATAATACCAAAATGTCATAGAATCAAGTTTCATTATAACGGTGACGTGACAATGACGAGAACCAATGAGACTGCTCCATTATTTTTGTCATTATATGATTGGGTCTACTTTGTAAAAATGTGGTATTTATGTATCTACAGTAAGTCGAAGTAATAGTAAGATTTCACTAATGACTACAATATAGCTTTTTTTCAAAATACGCAATGCTAATACTTTTCAGAAGAAAAAAAAGAGAAGATGCGAGTTTGATGTCTTGCTATATTACAGACGACAAGACAATTGTAATATTTGTATTATAAAGTTTCCTCGTAGATGAAAGGAATGTACTAGTAGTTTAGGCAACTGGGTTACAAAATTACCATTACAAGGAGGTATATGTTGAATATGACAGAACGAGAGGGTAGAATTGATTGTGTCATTGTATAGTAGTCTTAGCTAAGCATTCTGAATGTTTAGTACTTTGTTTTTGTCTTACAATGTGTTAAATAAACCAAACATCGAAATATATTCTAAAAATTGCGTTTTTCAACACAACGAAAACATCAGTATGACTACTTAGCCTTTTACACTAATTTGTAGAGTTAGAACATTACAGCTATAGAATTATCATCCACAGAAATAACAGTTTATGCTTCCCGGCGTTGTTTGCTCGAGTTAAGTTGTTCTTAGTGTATAAATTGTAATGTTTGTGTTGAATAAAGACTTGTAGTCATATACATGTACTATTCTGTTGTGCTGTTACAAAATGAATTTGCGCACACACATGGCTAGACATTTCATATCCAAACACGAAATTGTAAGCTGTTGTTTATGCAATATCGTACAAAACGTACGTCATTTCAGAGGGTCGAATAATTTGGTTAATAATAAAGCATCCATTTTGTACCGACTGCCCTTTACACACATACATGTAGACACCGTGTTAAACATTAAACTCCAAACGTAGGTCGCCGACATGTTTACATTTTACTCATGCTCCAGTCTGTCAGAGCTATAGACTATTTACTCAGAGTGCTCCAGGGTCGAGCATACAAGCGCTTGGCGCCAAATGACCTTTGACCCCGTTCAGGAAAAGTGCTGTATCACAGTGATAGACATACATGCCGACGGGTTCGTATAGTATAAGGAATCTTTAACTGGATTTAGCTACATGTACTAAGAACTTGTGGTGGTTAGAACAGCAAAATGCAATCTGCAGGTATGTGTGTGTTTATACGTACAACAACCTCTGTTCTCTCTGTGTGTGTGTGTGCGTGTGTGTTTGTGTGGTGTGTGTGTGTGGTGGGGGGGGTCTGTTGGTGTGTCCTTACCTGAGTTGAGCTGTCATTCTTGCTACTGTCCAGGTGGTTGAAAAGGCACATTTTTAGAGCTGAAGGAGCGTCTAAAATGGGCCCAAATATCTGGCATACACTCACAAGTAACAACAGTCCGGCTCATCCCACACCTACGTACCTAGAGTAAGGGGGTTTAACCGATTTTTAAGCCAGGCACTTATTTACATCTGAGTCGAACAGACACGGCAGACATCTTTTACTGTACAGGTGAAGTGACGTTTTCTGAGCTGAAGGAGGGTCTGACCTCAGGTGACCTGCAAGTGTTCGACGTGTGGCGGCCGGAGGAACTGCAGCAGGACGGGCGGATGGTCGGATCCACCAACATCCCACGTAAGTTACTATAATACTTATGCAGTATCTTCATCTTTCACATAAAACTTATATTGACAAAGTATATAAGGAGCTTTATACTTCAACCTTTATTTTCATAGTAAATCGGATACTGCTGTCAGTCATCGTCTCGTCTGGCCTCAGCTCGGGTCCGAGCATCTGGGTTCGTGTCGTCTCATCCTCAGCTGTTCTGGGGGTGTCGATGTCTTAGGTGGCTGGTCAGGCCTAGTGAAGTATAAAAACGTCGGGGGCACTTTGTGCAAGTCAGAGTAGGTGGCGGTCGCGGGAGGAGGAGCCGCTCTTGTCGTTTCCGTCTCTTTGCCTCTGCTGTCATCCGTCGTTGGGTTTCCATGTAGGTTGTTCCCTGTGCGACGGTGCTCCGCCACGCAGTTCGGTCCTCGGCGAGGGTCTCCCAGTTGTCATGATCAATGCCGCAGCAAAGGAGCGTGGCCTTTAGCTGATCATGGAACCGACGTTTGGGAGCGCCCCTCGGTCTTGTGCCGGATTCGAGTTGAGAGAACAGGATCTGGCGGGGTAGTCGAGTGGTCGGCATGCTGTCAGTCATATAAACTTTGTAAACAGATTATCCCGTCGTCCTCGTCAATGGTCGCCTAGGCAATAATCTAAGGAAAATAACGATAAACATATTTCCCGAGTGAGTTATGTTTTTATCACGCGCAGTGGATGAGCTGGAAGCGGCGTTACTGATGTCTGACGGAGAGTTTCAGGAGCAGTACGGGGTCAGGAAGCCGCAGAAGGAAGACGAGAACATCGTGTTGACGTGCAGGTCCGGCAGACGGACTAAACTGGCGCTGCCGATCGTACACAGACTCGGATACACTCGGTCAGGAACTTCTTTTACCCTCTTCACATTGATATCTGCGCTTTTATCTAACGTCGTAGGTCGTCATACGGCCGAAGAAGTTTCAAGCAGGCTGTGACAAATTGACAAGGCAGGGCTTGGACTACTTTTTTCTGCTTACCCGCACTAGTTACCTGCCCTGGTGACCATAAAATCAGCCAACGTATGTAAAAGTAAAGGGTCGAAGTCAAAACTTTTACTTTGCTAGTTTTTTTTGTTCTTTTCTGATCGAAATTACCTTTCCAGGGCCAGAATATATGCTGGTGGAATCATAGAGTGGAAGAAACATCACGGAGTCAACTAGTCTAGAGGGAGAAGTATTCCGTTGGAAAGGCCGTTGAAGGACAGTGAAGTCAACCCGAAAGAAATTCTCCCAAAATGTCTGACTATGAAATGATCAACAGAAGTGATCGGAAACGTTTTACAGTAGTAGAATTGGTTTGTTTTACTGTTTTATTCATTATAGTTTTGAATTCTCAATTGAATGTGAATTCTGTCATCTTGGTCTTATCCTGAGCATATTCGTTTCAAAAAGACCATCATTGCAACATATAATTTATTGTTTCACTTTTGTAAAAAGAAAACATCAATGACAACCCAAATTATTTAACTGTATTGCAACAACATTTTTTCATCATTTAAGTTTACAAATCTTTTGGTCTCCTTTCCTTCATTCTGGCTAATGACTATCAGTTAAAACACATGACAATAAATTGACTCATAGAAACAAATGCTAAAATAACAAATAAGTAAAACAGGAAAAGTAATAACTTTACAACAAGATATACCCGTTCAATTCTACACAATTAAAAGAAAACATGCCACGTTATGTCAGCAGTTGGTCTCAAACTACTGTTTGGCCTGGGCTGTTTTCCTAGACACATCCGGGGCGCCAGGAGTAGTACATGTAGCAGTTCTCAGCCTCCCACGTGGTAATTCCTGTTCCACTCCACTATGCCGCCCTCGAAGACTCTGGTTCTGAAAAATGTGTCACACTAAGATAAGTGAAAGTCATCTCCATCCAGTTTTAGCACAATGAAGAAGAGCTAATCTTCCACTGATGGTGACAGAGAAGACAGACGCTATGTACTATATCAACAGGTTCATTGTACCGGGGAAATTCCCCTAGCTCTTTTCGACTAGTACAATATACAGTGGACCGCGGCTTCTAAATGTCCCATCCCAAGGACTGTGACCCTCTACGTGTGCATGTCAGGTGAGTGATCCTAACCCCCGTCTCAATTTTCTTACATTTAAGTTTACTTAACGTAACTAGCAAAACAAATGTGGCTCAAGTGATTCGAGTGATCGTGAGGAAACAGATGCTTGGTAAAACGAGTCCCCACCTTGAGAACCCGAGCCGTCGTGCCAGCCGCTGTGCCCGCCGCGCCCTGACGCCAGTCCGGCAGGTGAAGACGACGTTATCAGCGTCCGGCTGAGGCTTCGTGACGCCGAACCTCTGCTGGAAGGCCTGGTCCAACATCCGCAGGGCGGACTCCAACTGGTGCACTGCCAACATAAACACACAAGAATATAAGTAACACAAAACAAATCAAGCAACTGGATAAACTTTAGAAACCGTTTAAGGTAGTATTTGCTCTCTTTAATCAGTAACTCAGAATGTCTCAACCACTGATTTCTAAGTCATTGTGGCCTATTGTATCCAGAATCGTGCCTGTCTGCTGGTAGTTATAAGTCTGAATGACTTAAAGTTTAAGGCAATTTAGGATTAGGCACGGTTTTGGATAGTCTTCGCTTATCCAGGAATGCCGATTTTCCCCAGGCACGGTTCTGATGTGTAGACTATCCAAGACAGCGCTTAAGCATGGTTCTGGATAAAGTTCGGTTCTGGATATAATAGTTACCAACTCACTCGGGATGTTGACGGCCCCCGGGATCGCCCCGTCCCGCTGCAGTTCCAACGGCTGCCGCACGTCGATCACCAGCAGGTCACGTGACGCCAGCCCGCGGGTCAGCTCCGAAAACGTCACCTGATCTGCAATAATCGAAACATGATATGAAAATTAAATTTACCCTGAGTCGTGTAAAAATTGCCATATTTTTCTGGCAATACCTCTGGTAAATTTGGAAAGAGTATGGTTGAGCACACACAGACTAGACCCCTGCTGTAGTGATTGCACAGCCTTGTGGCCCAAGGGCTATTGAACCAGAGATATGCGCCACCATATGCGGTCTTCTCTTGCGGAAAGGACATTTTAAAAAACTTCTCACCCCATGTTCGCAGTTCCACACATCTTGGCTCATCACTAGCGGTGAACACCCACTGCTTGCCTGCCTGGCACACGGCGGAGGGCGCCCCCTGTAGGCGATACCCGGCACTACAGCTGTAGGTGACGACGTCCTTGTACCTGCGACCCTCGCCGAGGACTTGTCCATTCTCCACGGAGGGGGGATCTTCACACGCAATGGGTACACATCTAGGCCTTCTCCCCTATGTTGAAACGGAACCGTCTATTACAACAGTGATAAAGTTGGAAAAACTGTCTCGAGACTCAGTCATGGTTGGGACCGAATCAAAAAAGACTTTTGAAGATCAATAATGTTCTTAAACCTTAATAAAAAGGACCTTACCTGGTGCATTTCCAGACTGTCTGCATCCGGGTGCTTGATGGTCACCGTTTGTCTCATCTCGCGTGGGTTCAACTCTCGCGAGAACTGCCGTCCGTCGGGCCACGTGACCTCCACCTGTACGGCAGTGTCGGTCCCCAGGCCAAAGTGCGCAATGGGCTCCATCTGAGAACGGTTTCAAATATATCATAATATGTACGATTCTGTAGATCAATTATCTCCGTGCACTAAATCAGTAATATCCAACCAAAGGTTTAGTCTCTGCCTTATTTTGGAGCCTTCGGTGGCATATTGGATACTGCCATGCCAAGCTGATATTGTCTTTTAGCCACAAAAAGATTAGCTTGGATATTACTGACATTTACCAATTTTCTGTCCAGCTTGTTATAGCACAAACCGCACATGTAATTTTACTTTGCTTTCTTTTCTTTATTCAATCATGCAATATTGTTAAACTTTTTGACATTACCCACACAAAAGGTTCCGGGTCGGAGTTTAATTCTGACCAGGGTTCCAAATAGTGCGCAGTAAATCGCCGGATCTGCGAGGTTGTCACGCTAGGTTTGGCTCCCCATAGCTCGGCGATCGCTGTAGATTTTCAACTAGGTTTTGAATTGATCAAAAAGCCTTGGGATTGTAGTGTTTTTCGGCGCGGTGAAGTTGGACGGCCAGCGAAGCGTTTTTGGTATTAGTCCGCGAGCAAGGGTGATGCGGTTTGTCGCCTGATGACCCAAATAGCTGCGTTCTATGTGGAATTTCTAGGGGTTCGCGTCACCGGATTTTGCGAAAAACTTATCGCAACAACCTATATTTTTTTTCTGTTTTTCAGAAACAGGAAATAGTAAGCTATTTCAGCATATAAGCCGTTAGCCTGGGAAAATTCGTTTTTTCCAAGCAGGTCCGTTGAAAAAACTGCAAAAAAACTACATTTTTCGTATCCAAAATTTACGTTTAACTACAGTTTCTACCCAAATTATAGAGTCGACGGACAATAACCAAAATTGTATCGGAAGCCGGCTGGAAACCTCCGTTGACTGATGTAATGAGATTTCCCGGCGTACTTTTCTTGGCGGAGTTATAGCCCTTCGGTCTGAGGATGTCCGCCGGATCCAAAATCGTAAAAAATACTCCGGTCCGAGACCAAAAGTACTTTGCTACCGTGACCTCACCTGACACAGGTACCCTGACCCCCCGTCTATGACCCTGAGCTGGACGTCACCGCTGGCCGTACGGATCGTGACCCTTGACCCTCGGGCCGGAGCTCCGTACTTGGTGGTCGGGTAGATCCGGATCCAGTTGTTGCCCTGACCTTGAGTGACCCTGAAGACGGTCAGAGGTTGGGTGTTCGATTCCCCGTGCGCGAGGATCAACTCCAGCTGACCGTCACCGTCCAAGTCAGCCGCCGCGCCACCTAGCACAACGGTAATGAACAACTAAAAAAAAGGCTCAAGGGGGCTGCAAGCTACTGACTGGGAGACCTAAGAACAGAATAAACTATGTTATAAGCTACACTGTACAAGTGCTTGAGGAACGTCTTGCTTCACTGTTCAAAGAAACTAACTGGTGTTTGAAGGTTCGTTAGGGACGTCAGAAGGCGTTTCTTTCTGGGAGATACCAAATGCTGAAGGGGGTCTTGATGCATATGATCGCAAGGGGATCACCCTATGTTACCAACCATAGCAAATGGACGGGAAGACAACCTACCTATAAACATCGTGAATTTGCCTTGTAAATGTTACATTTCTTGTTAACTTTTATTCTAATCTGTGTACATTAAAAACTGGCTGTGATCCATACCTGTACCGTACCCTTCTGGCTCCAGTGCGTCCCCTACGTCTAACTGGTCAATGGTAGGGTCCAGTTCCGCCCCCTGGCGGGTGACCTTGAACAACCTGCCAAGGACACAGAGATCAGGTACTCACAGGCATGTCATCATAACTTCATGTTACCCCATAAACGCTTGAACACATATCAATAAAATGCAAAAGGCACACTAATATGACACCGGCCATCGGCATCCATTAAAGCCCATCGGCATCCATTAAATGTCATATGAATATCCGACGTTTAATACCTGTTCGGAGCGGTTGGTCCGTGACGCCAGTTGACGATGTCGTTGAAGAAGACTTCTATCTGCCCGTCGTTGTCAAAGTCGTTGGCGATCACCGTTCTGACTGGGGAGGGGTTCTGGAAAGCGGCATTGGTTCCGCCCAAATCCTAGAAATAAGAGGTGGACCGATATTGTAAGCTGCATAATGATACATTTTCTTTCTTTATCCCCATAAATAAAATCATATGTAGGCGGAAAAATTATTTCATCAATGGAATGGAACAACTATGTTCTAAAGTGTTTCTGAAATTCTATATGGAACACCTGCATTCGAAATCGTCTACCATAGTGTTCCATTGAACTCGTTTTGGAACTTCTAAATCGCCTGTTCCATGGAAGCCGGTTCTGAAACCTGATATATACGTCCGTACAAAGAGGCAACACGGGTAAATCCCCACCCTGAATGTGGCCGTTCCATCCCGCCTCTGTTGGATCCACAGCCGGTGCGGGCCCATCCAGTTCCCGTTCACGATATCCACCAAACCGTCCCCGTTAAAGTCTGCAAGCGCCACCCCGCGGCCGTTACGGGAATGCCAGTGGTCGTTATGTCTGTCGGCATCAAGGATCCCTAGCAGAAAATGCAAATAAAGCCATCTAGAAGTGGTGTACAATGTCTGGCCGAGAAAGTATAACGTTGCCTAATTAATTACATTGTGCAATTGTTGTCATTGACAGTGCAGTAAAAATTCATGTTGCAACACTTTTGCAAATCAACACAGATGCTTACTTATTATTCTCCTGTCAACAGAGTTCCATTTTATATATTTCATATATTTTCATTTTATTTTTTTTTATTTTTGTTTGCTCTAAAACGTTTTTCGCCCATCTTGCTCCCACATACCTGCCCGCTCCGCCATGTCCTGGAAGGTCCCGTCTCCCTGGTTCTCAAACAGGAAGTTCGGCCCCCTCTCGTTCCCACAGAAGATGTCCGACATGTTCCTCTCGTTCACAATCGGGCCCACCGTCACACCCCGACCGCCTAGAAAACACAGAAGCATTGCTTGTACCATCTACTCACTTGCATTTTGTATTACTAGTAATCGTATGAATGTATCAATTCTACAGCCTGGATGCCAAACTGTTGCCAGGGCCTAATATACGCAAGACTCCAGGGCCAATACAGACCAGCTCCTCGGCTCCAGGGCCTATGCAAGCCAGCCCCTAGGCTCCAGGACCTGCACTATTCGTAGGGCACAACAGACACAACACATGAACGTAACTTACCTGTCAGCTTCTCGACCCCAGCCTCCTTAGCGACGTTCTTGAGCCTAATGATCCCGTTCCCAGGGTCGCTGGTGTCCGGGTCCATCTCTATGAGCCCCTGCGGGCCGATGTTATAGTGCGCGTAGTTGGCCACATACACGGAGTACAGGCCGTTACCCTGGGGACAAAAAGAAGCTGCCGTTACCGTTTAGTAAAGGCAAAGGTTAAAAGTAGCCCCATAGCCTTTTTGAGGCTGTAGGGGCAGTGGGCTGTTCATCCATTGTGTAAAGGGCACAGTGTTGGAAGGCGGAGTCCAACCCTCTCCTTCCACAGCCTTCTACCTCCCCAACCGACGTCAGGTACCTATTTTACACTATCCGTAGACTACCCAGAAGGTATCTTAACAATAACCAAATCAGCTATGAAACTAGATCTGTATGGGCCCAAGATACGCACCTTCCTGTCTATGCAGGCCACAGACCGCCCGGCGAAGCGCCCGTCCACCGCCCGGTTGTATCCCTCCGCGAACACGTCCATGTACCGGCCCTGGTGGAGCCTGAACAGCCGGTGTCCCGTGGTGGGCTGGAAATATCTTACATTTAGATTCAATATTTAGATTATTTAGTCCCTACCATGTTCATGTCCACAGCAAGTTGATATTTCCTTCTACAAAACGTAGAAATAATTTGAACCAATTCTCACGTTTATATTCAGCATTTAGACTATTCAGTCGATACCCTGGTCATGTTTGTAGCAATTTGATATTTTCTATTGCAAAATGTAGAAATAATTTGAACCAACTCTCAGCAGGAAATGTAGCATATGATAGTTCAAACCTGCATTCGTCATATGATAGGCATTTCAGCACCAAGGACAGGTGTTGATATCTGTCCAAAACATCACTACAACCTTCCCCACTAGCGTCGTCCGTGGCGTCAAACAAACAAACAAACAAACAAACAAACAAGCAAACAAATAAACAAACAAACATAAACAAACAAACAAACAAAAAGAAATACACACCCCTCCGGAGTAACTGTGGTTGAGGTTTAAGAAGTAAATTTCCTCCCAACCGTCGCCGTCGATATCACAGGCCGCTACGCCGATTGCGTCACCGGTGACGTCACGCAGAGGGTAGTAGGGCGAGTTGGGATCGTCCACTGCGATGTTCTCATATCTCTGGGCTTCCGCGTTCCACTTCAGGACTAGGTTAGGGCCGTTGTAGCTGCAATAAGATAGTTTGCTGTAACTAGAATTGTACTTTATCCAGAACCGTGCTCAGACACAATTCTGGATAGCCCATGCGTATCCAGAAGCGTGCCTGGTCTTTAACCTATCACATTCAGGCATAGAACAGGATGTACACGGCTGTGGAAACAATAGGGTTCCAGTTTATGGTGTGATCAATTTACATGAGTAAAGATGGCCATCATTTTATTCCCAGCAAATATAATGTAATCATTGATTGAGCAGAGAGGTAGCGTGGCCGAGCGGTCTAAGGCGCTGGTTTTAGGCACCAGTCATTTCGATGGCGTGGGTTCGAATCCCACCGCTGCCAGGAAATTTTTAACTTTTATTCAAAAGTTTCCAACAACAAAAGACATAAGATTGCCCAACATTTTTGGACGTCGCTTTTTTCTAGGCAGACGGGATGACGTAATAGACCATATTCGGCAGACGTGATGACGTACTCACCCGGCGACGACGAACTCCATGTTGCCGTCGTGATCGACGTCGGTGACGGCGACTCCGTAGTTCTTCTGCGGCGGGTTGGACGTCTGGTCCGGCGGCAGGGCCAAGTCTGTCACGCTTTCAAACATGCCTGTCGTCTGGAAAACGGAAAATTATCCATGGTTAATACTATACTAGCTCATAGAAAATGAAAAGACAGACAAACGTGGTGTATAGGTGGTATCAACTCTACTGTTCTTACAAAGTGGTGTCGGTACGCAGGAATTACGGATCTGAATACGGGTGGACTATCCAAAACCGTGTCTGAGCATGCCGCATGGTTCTGGATAAAACACGGTTCTGGATACGGGTGGACTATTCAAATTCGTCTCTATGAGCATAGGGTTCTGGATAAAGCAAGGTTCTGGATAAAGTACGGTTCTGGATACAGCACGGTTCTGGATAAAGCAAGGTTCTGGATAAAGTACGGTTCTGGATACAGCACGGTTCTGGATAAAGCAGGGTTCTGGATAAAGCAGGGTTCTGGATACAACACCAGCCCTACCCACCTGTCGTGACGACCTGTGATGGTGCCCGCGGTGTGACCTGTGGTGACCTCCTCTGGAGGCGCGTTCTTCCGCGGGAGCTCCGTCGGCATGCGGGCTGCGGTCTGGCGCCGTGTGGCGGGCAGAGTGGCCGCGTTCCTCCTCGTTATAAGTACTCTTCAAAATATGGGAAAATGCACAGAGAAACTTAAGTAAGTCCACGTACGCAAGTTTTGTTTTCGTTGTGTTTGTCTTTTTATCGTTCCGCTTTACATGTGGGGCCCTAGGTACTTGTGTTTGTTTGTTTGTTTGTTTGATTGTGTGTCCGCAGTTATTTGAATACAATGGGGTCACAGGGACATTCGTTCGTCTTTTGGCATTTAACGTTACCCTTGCGACAACAGCTCCAAACATCTGTTTCTAATATACGACAAAACTTACAAACAAAAATGTTGTTGGCACCAGTCGACATTCCATGGCCAGTCGACTCGGAAGACAAACAAGTTAGGGTCCCATCATTACCAACTCAGCACAGATGAACATTCATGTAGCTTGTAGTTATATTCAAGACTGTTGGCAATAGTAACATTATACAGGCTAGCTCCAGGGCCAACCTGCCCCCAAGGAAATGTTACAGAAGACGCCCCTCTGTTCGACCCTTCTCCTCTAGCTCTGTAAAGAACAGGGCCAATACAGAACTACAGGCATACAGAGTAACATGAATATTAGCCTATAGGACATATAGGACAACCTTTTTATGGCAAAGAAAATACCAAATTCTGTACGACTGTCTCCAAAATAGACCGTTCCAGGTTGAACACTATAATCCCCGCTGTTCTATCATGGAAGATGGGATTCTATAGAAAATAGTTCAATAGAACAGGAGGTGCGACATGTTCTGCTGAGAACGATCTACTGCTGTCGTCAGCCCGTCGAAAGTGGTCTTACCTGACACAGTATCCTTTCTTGTCCGACCAGTTCGTGCCCTTCTTTACAGCTGTAGTGGAAAAGCCTGGTGACGGTTTCGCCGTCCCTCACTTCCGCAGGGCCTTCGCGGACGTACCCGTGCAAGATCTCTCGGGGCGCGGCGCAGTCCTCGCCGACGGACGCGATTTCAACGGGGTCAGACGCCGGGTTTTGTGTAGGCCGCTCGACACAGACGTTACGCAAGACGTCTGAGCGAACACCTTCGTAAACTTCGGCGTAATTTGTGACAACAGTAGTCTGGAAATACACTGCCGGGCTGTCGCAAGTGTCTGTTTTCCAGACGAAGTGTAGGCTGTGAAAATGCAGTCGGTCTGGGTTGGTGTGTGTCACAGCGCTATCTGGAGATCCACCACAGGCGACCAGCTTGGTCCTCGGGGGTAGGTCGCCCCAGGTCCCGACGATGTCGCCGTCCGTCTCGGTACGGGCTTGGAGGAGGAACCCGCGGAATCCGGAGGTGCCGTTCAGCGTGACGGTCCACTCGCCCGGTGTCGCCGTCGGGGTGAGGAACACGCCGTAGCCGCCGCCGCCGTCCCTCGGAGGAAGGCCGTGCCCGGGCCGCATGGACCCGCACTGCGACACCGGCGCCCCAGTCGGCCATCCTTCCACACTGAAGGCGGAACCAACCAACACAAACAGGGCCAACAATGATGCCATTTTACGTCTTTAGGGAGGGTAATCGGGTCTTCTATAGGAGTAATATAAAAACTCGCCAAACCTGTTGTGCAACTAGAACGATGGTTTCCTTTTTAAATAGCCCAGGCCTTACGTAAAGACTCCCGTCAAGCTTTGCGTGTAAATGTAATCTGGACCCCGTTACTTAACTTAAGGGCCCTTAAGTAGGCCTTGTTGACACATATGTTGCAGCAGCATTGTTTTTAATCCTGTGTACTTTAACCTGTTCTTCTGTGATATTCATATTGTAGACAAACATGCTGTTCTTCTTGGCATACTTTTGGACTATTCGACAGGTAGTTTCTATATTATTATTACTAAATTTAGCCAAATAAGTTCGAAACCTCATCGTATACGTAAATGCTTTATTATTTGATCGTTTTACTGTTAAGTTTTCGCCCCTATGTCAATTATGTGACACGTTTTCAGTGGTTACTAGTAGCCCAGGAGTAATTGAATACAACCAATGGCTTGCGTCTGACGATTCAAACAAGTGCCAACTTTGGTACAAGGGGTGTTGTGAAGGTTTCTGTCAGAACTTCTCAACACAAGATTGCTCTCTCTACAACATCCTGGACCAGCTGGCTGCCAATCCTTATATGAAACAGAACGCTGTGCAAATTTGCTTCAAACCGACAGCTGGTCAGTCCGCACGTACACGTACACGTGCAGCAAGACGAGCAAAGTTCAGCGTAGGACACGACAAGTGATTGTCTCCAATGCAGAGATTGGTCACTTCAAATGTTGACCAACGGATCAGGCGACTCGTGCCGCGAAGTGACGTAACAAACTTGCGTAAGCGTTACCTGATTGAGTAACGTGTTACACAACTTCTCAGTCTTTTCTCTTTCCAGCTTTATCTCCAAGCATGTCGTTCGGTAGCCTAGACTGTATCCAATAGGCATACTAGTACCCGATAGACAAGCCAAGTCTTATTCCTGTCTTCAGTAACTTAATGAAAATGACGAGGAAAACATTGAACAACATCTCTGGTATTTTTTTCGAAATAATTTATTTATTGCTTTGACACGGAGCAAAATCAATCATTGCTATAAAGTTCTCATGCAAGTGACAAGCGTTTCACATATACAAGAGGCGGTAAAAAATAGGAAGATATCGTCACATCTTATAACTAGAACTATTTACCTTTGCAGCTTACATTCAGGACTTAGAGTCTTACATCACCTCGCAGCGAGAAACACGACATCAAATCGGCAGAAATAAAGGAGCCTTGTAGAGATTACTTCAGCTTGGGTTGCATATCATACATGTATTGTCATAGCTGTGGTAACGTATATCACTAGTCAACCGTAGGGGCTGCCCCCTGTCAGTTTGGCACGGTACTGCACCATCCTTCAGCTTACACACTTGTGGTTCTTCTCACATCCAATATAAAGTTTTCACCAACATCAATGCCACACTGCAATGGACCAAATCTCACCACCCTTTAACATGTACCCCATCCCTATCCCTCCGTTTCCCTCTACATCTAACGCCTGGCTTCTCTCTAAACACTCTGTTCTTTAGACAACACACACGACCACTCCGCTAACAGTACTCCACATACGTTGTTGTTACATCGATACTTCTGATATGTCATTGTCCTTCACAGTACAAAATGGTCTCTACATCCTAATGTTCTATCGGCAGTTGCGTTGCTATCAAAAACCGCTAGGACGCGCACTTGTATCATTACAGGGTACTTTATATTACAGCGATTTTCTGTTGTCTGAAAATAAGTCTAATATCATTTAATGGACAAACAACCAACACACAAAAACATATTCTATAAGTAATGAGAAGCCATGAAATACTTAAGAAGGCCTTTACAGCATAGTAGGTTGGCACTAAGGAGTCTTTTTGGCGACTGCTACATTCATGAAATTCTTACTTTAAACAAAATTTAAGTAGCTCATAATAGCTGATGGCAGGCCACCAGGCCTCCCGCCAATCTTACATCAAAATCAAATCCTTAAGTATTTTATTGAGACTATGGTACAAATTTTACAGAAGAATAATACAGGTAACACATTGAATGGTTCTATATACGTAAGACTATGTGCTGTACAGTAGGAAGTATAGAGTTGAGCTATAGGACCGTCTAGGAAAGATCATCTTATCTACTTGGCACGAAAGCGAGAAGTTTCTTCAGTGAACATGTGGGCACCTGAAATTGCTGTCTGGCTGTAGGGCTACACAACATTAATGTGCTTGTTCTCAAGATCACAAAAAAAAAACCCAAAAAACCTAAGCCATTAAAACTTCAAAGACTATATTCAGAGCATTGAGGAAGATATATATCAATCCCACAATGTGTTTGTCAAGGTTTAAGCAGTAGCCAAGGGCAAGAACCAGGAAAGAAAATTGATGTGGCCAACTGGTTTTTAGGAATTAACCTTCCGGTGCATCCATCAACCATCTCTTCATGCCAACATCAGCTAGGAAGTGTTTAATGTGTTTGTAGGTACAAAAAAAATTCAATCTGAGATGCTCCTGTTCAAACCTCCTACACCAGACAGCAGCTAAAGATGCCACATGTACAAGACACTACATGGATCTCTCATAGCCTGGACTTCAGCCACACTTAAGGGCTAGTCTGCACTGTAACATGTCCCATCTAACTTATAGTTAAGCAAACAGCACAGACCAGCTTACAACAGGCTATACTTCAGGCTAGTACTAGTAGTAGTGAGAAATTTGTTTCTGTAGTTGCGGTTCAGTGGCTTTGGTGGTGCAACCGACAGACATGTTTGTTCTTGAATAATACAGTTGTGTTTATTGTTATATGTGAACTTCAGGTCACTTGTTAACGTTGTCCTACCTACACTCATTGCTGTATAATAGTTTAATAATCCTCACTAGAAGCAAACCTTTTAACCCACATCAGAACAGAAATATCTACACAGAACTGATTGTTCTTGATGAGTAGGTTAATATCATATAATATATATATATAATATATCCTAACATACTTTGATACACAGAAGCCACGGCTTGATTGTCCCTAGTGTAAGTAGACGTTGTGCTTTAACCTTCTTCCTGCTGCCTAACCCCATAACCAATACAAAGTTGCTGCCATTCGTGGCTACCTTAGCAGGCTGAAGGTTAAACGCAGCCTCCTCTCAGTAAATGATTGTTTCAGACTTGACCTGTCCGTCTGTGGTGACAGTTTGGATCGTCTCGGTGACAGTTTTGACAACAGATGTTCCAGATTTGACAGCAGCTGTATCAGGTTTGACAGCAGCTGTCCCTGTGTCTGTTCCAGTTTTCACAGCAGCTGTTCCTCCCCTATGGTCTCCTCCTCCGTTTTGCTCCATCCCCGCGGTGCCGGGCGGTACGCGGCTGTTCCCCAGGCCGGTTTGTTGGACCTGGGAAGCGATGCTGTCTGAGCTGCTGGTTGAGGTGGGGGAGGTGGGACTGGCTTGTTCAGGTAACTGTTCAGGTTCGGCGGAGGTTTCCTGATGAACAACATTACAGTTAGGATGTGTTACATGATGCATTCATAACATTACAACCAATTTTGTATGGAGTCGAATCATTCTATAGCATATTAAAGCTTATTAGCAGACAGCTTTTGCTTCACAGTAGTCCCTCAGTAAGACATCCGGAGCAGCATGGTTGCTGTATATAGTCTTAGTGAGGAATGATTCTATTTAACTCATACAAACCATTCTATAAGGATCAGCAGCATCAATGTACTACTAGTAAGTATCTCAGAACAGTCAAAGCAAAGTAGTAGACGAGATGTTATATATCTTGAAAAAAGTTTTTTTCCAATGTTACATCTTTTGTGTAAAGGGGAAACTTTTAATATCCCTCTAATCCACAGCAAGAAGAACTAACATGTAAATTTGAAACATGACATGTCCTCAAAAGATTTTATGGTATTGAGTCAGTAGTCATGTAGTACAGGACTTGGGAGTTATGAATTCTGTCTGTGAGCAGGTTTAAGCCTGTGCATGTAGAGGATTATTGTACATTGTGTGTTACATTCCAGCCTTACCATGTCAGTGTTTTATCAGTCTTGCTCTGCTGGCCTCGGGTCTAACATGAACATGCAAGCAGGAACAGACAAAACATGGGTGAGTTAGGGGCGACATGTTAGTACACCCACACACACAGCAACATGGTGAAGAAATGAACACAATATCTGCACATACAGGATTCCTGAAGTCATTACAAATGTGACATACATGTGCACGTAGGTAAACACAGTTATTAACATGATTAGCATTGTGAAAATGAACAAAATTGTCTTAATAACATAGACTTTAGTCAACGAAGTAAGTCAGATTCCAACAATAGCAGGTGAGGGGGTAAATATCCATGCTGTAAATGTTATTTTGACATTAGTGACTGGAAGACCAAAAGGTAAAAAAAATCTACAGCATCATCTTAGAAAAACTGCCAACTCATAAAAACTCAAAATATCTAGTCAACCTTTTGGTATTTGGCATTCCTAAGGACCATCTTTCATTGATGAATGGCTTCTTTCAGAAGCCAGTCACAGAAATTACTGAACATTCACTGCTACTTTGACTTATCTGTGAAGACCAGCCAGGGTGCCTTCATCATTGGGTTCTGGTCATCCACAGCTGCTGCAGGTTGTACAATGTACTTTGACCCACATGTATGTTTTCCCTCTGCAGATGCAGCAGGTTGTTCTTCATCTGCAGCTGCTGCAGGTTGTACTTTGACCCACCTGCATATTTTCCCTCTGCAGATGCAGCAGGTTGTTCTTCATCTGCAGCTGCTGCAGGTTGTATTTTGACCCACCTGCATATTTTCCTCTGCAGCTGCTGCAGGCTTTTCTATTCATCTGAAGCTACAGCATATTCTAGCCATCCACAGCTGCTGCAGGTTGTACTCTGACCCACCTGCATGTTTCCCTCTGCAGCTGCTGCTGACTGTTCTACTCACCTGCATGTTTTCCCTCTGCAGCTGCTGCAGGATGTTGTACTGCTCCTGCAGTTGCCTCTTCTTCTCCTGCGGGTCCTGGTCCTCTTCCCGCTCGATGGTGTGAGTCGTCGGGGTGGGCGAGAACCAAACCCTCTGGTCCTGGGGAGCAAACAGTGAAGCATGTAGCCATCAACTTGAAAATCATCTAACAGTGCAAGGCCACACCATTTGTATGCTCTGATACTTGATAGCTCTCAAGGCTGAAAACATGTGTCTATGAGGTAAACTTACTATGACTACCCTCTATAGATTTTTGTGGCCTTAGTGTATGTTCATGCCTAAATCCAGGTATTGAAACATTGAAACTGTAATGTAAGGAGGAAGGGGAAATATTTACCAGATGTTACAGTCATCATTCCAGAAGGGAAGCAGAGAGACTTTATATTAGTAAAGATGTTCATCAGTACCAATTGGCAAGCAATATGGTCAGGCTGCCATGGTTGTTGAAAAGATGTACTACTCAGGGATGTGCTCCAAAAAAAGCCTTCACAGAAGTTAGTTTGGGTGGCCTGATTATCATTTCCTTCATAAAATGCCTTAACAATTACTTTAACTCTCACCATGGTAGTGTCTCGGTTTGAAATACAGTATTTACAAAGTCAAAATGTTAAATGTGATGCACTTCCAATACATTCCAATACACTCTCACATTAACTGTTTAAAGTCTTTTAAGATCTGCAAAAAGAACGTCTACTAGTACCTTCTCGGCCCCCTCGCCCCCCTCCCTCCTGTTGGTGACCTGGTTGTTGTTATCGTTGTGGTTCCCAGTTGGACTGGGCTTGTTGGTCGGGCTGGTCGCACTTCTGAACACTGAAGAACAACAACAAAATCATGACTGTGTTAACATTGAAGAAGGTTAGACGTATAAATAGAATGTTACTCAATACATTTTTGTTGAAACGAGTCCAACTACATGTATGAAGCATTGGAATGTATTATATGCAGACTTCATGATCATGCAAAATACACGTACCCCCGGTAACACAATTCATAATCATAGCTAGCCGCAATCTTACCTGTAGTAATAGTCTTGGTTGTGTAGCTGTGCTTACCTGTAGTGATAGTCTTGGTTGTGTAGCTGGTCTGTGCTTTATCCAGGTCAGTAGCCTTGCCTGTGTACTGTACAGTAGAGGAGATGATGGGGGGGCTGTGTGCAGGGGAGCGGGGAGAGGGGGAGGTGGGGGATGTGATCCAGTTCTTCCTGGGGGGCGGAGGGGGCGGGACTTTCTTCCCCGGCTCCAGTACCTGGCCCGAGGGAGAGTGCTGAGATCCATTCTGAAAAGGAAAGGTAAGTACAATGTATTATTATCATTAAATTAGCAATTTAAACAGTTTGGTGGCCTCATCCAATTCTGTTTTTTTTTCAAAAAGCCCTGGACAGTCTATACAAAAGAGGAGTGCTGTGATCCATTCTGCAGAAAACTTACAAGAAAAACAATGTTACGTTGCGTGAGAGAAACATCTGCCAAACTGCATGGACTTGAGCCTATATTCATGAGTTATGAAATCGTGATGACTACAATTTAGCATTACCATTCTATCTTCCTTCCTTCTTTCCTTTGTTCAATCATTTCCTTTTCACTTTGTTCTACATGTCAGGCATGCATAGATGAGACCTTACCTCCACCTTGGGGCTCTCCTGGGGTATCAGCACCTCAATCTTGTCCTTATTATCAGTAGTGGCAACTGCCTGTTGCAGTGTTTCCTCTGCCTCCTTCAGAGCCTCCACTAGCTTCCTTGTTTCCGGCCCATGCGAGCCAAGACGAAGACGTCTCTCTCTCGCCTCTTCAGCAGCCTGGAAGTTTTAAGACATCTTGTATTACTTTCTTGTACACTTTTCATCTTCTAGAAGACGTTGCCATGTACACCTTAAAACCCATTTGACGCAGCAAAAGGTTAACAAGCTGCCATCATCCAAGCGCCCAAGCACATGCATTTAGTGTAAGCTGATCTAATCTAAAAAGTAACTGTATTTGTGCACATTCTAGTGTATCAGACATAGAACATTGCCTGACAAAATACACAATAGTGACAATACGCTACATACAGGTATGACTTGTACTTGTACAGAAATGTGATCAACACAATGGATTCAGATACACATGACATTGTGTGCATCATGATCTCTGCTATCAGTGTACTACAAGATGGCCCTCTCAGAAGTGTGACTCTATACTTGACCTACACTCTTGTGAATGTGTGCAAATGTAGAACATGTATATACAGTCACATAATTATATTCTTGAAGACAGTTATGACTTAAACATCAGCTAGATGAACAAAGATTGGTATCATAAAATGAATCATACTGTTATCAATATACATATACATGTAAATGAGATGGACAAAACATCACTAAGAAGCAGGGTTATCCAGCAAATTATGTGGACAAGCAAATAGGTAACATGGAACGTGAAGCAATGCACACATTCCTGAAAAGCAGCAGCAAGGATTTCACATTGCACATTCACAAGCAAACAAGGTTAACTATATACTCAAGGCATCTGGAATGCAAGGAAAGAAGAGGCATGTTTAATGGCAGTAAAATTAGTGACTAAATCAGGCGGCTGCGTTGCGTTTAGCTACAGATGATGTCTTCGCTATATGGCTGAAAGTTGCGGGCGCTAAAATGTGGGTTAGAATGATGGCAAAATGCCGGGTTAGCATGAAACTAGGGGGGCCGGGTTATACACAAACTTCTAGACACATTGACCTTCTGTCACCCTTTAAAGTCAGTTTTCAAGGTCGTGGTGGCAGCAATTTTGGGAAATAGCACATTCAAGAAAGATTAGGGTAACAGACAATGTATCCAGCAGTTAATATATGTTTGAGCGTTCTGTGTGGGGAAAAAGTGGCCTACAATGTTTTCTTAGGACGGTTGCAGGCAACACATAACTTGGCAAAAACTAGCAACTTCACACATAAAATACACATGAACAGAACAACAGAGGTAAAGACGCAGGCTCCATGCTACACGTGTGGGTCAGCCATTCAGACCTGACACAAGACTGCAACGTCAGAAAAGGTAACAGTGAGAACAAATATGACAGAACTCAGGGTGGGGATTTCTCTTCAAACTGGTAGATTATTGGCAGAGTTTGAATTCTAAAACTGCCAAAATCTTCCAATTTTCTCCGTAGTGTACCCCACAAATACTCTCCAAGCAGAGGTTTTTGTCAGTGGCTATTTTGCTTTTTGTCCTTTTTTATGATCCTATGTTTCCTTAGTAGTGCTTGCAATTTCTTCATTTTCCTTTCACATAATCATACAAAAGGCTGCAAAAAATAAAATCATGATAAACATGGACCGAAACCTCTACATGGAGAGCACCCCTTAGACAGAACCAGCAGACTGTGAGAGACACAAATGGACATACGATGCACACAACAACATGCCTGGAAGGGAAAACGAATGAATGAGTGATTCGAACGACAGATAAATAAGAACAAGTCCGAGTTACATGCTGGGTCAAGAGCTGCTCCTCGAGCAGTGAGTCGGACAGACCACTGTCTCCCGTGGGGGTGGTCGTTCCCTGCAGAGAAAAAAAATCGCTTACTTGTAATCATCGGTGCATGTACATGTAACAGTTCTTTAAGACTATGTTCACAAATTCAGCCTTGATCAGTTCTTTGGTTAAGATCCTTCTAAGCATATAAGCCAGCAAGGCAAAATCTCTACAAACTTTGTGAAGGCAAAGAGAGCAACTTGGTGAGCATGCATGCATAACCAGATATATGTTAAGTATTGTACATCCCAAGAACGAAACCAGAAATACCTTTGAAGTCCCAATATCTACAGTATACCAGCTAAGTTGTGCAAAAATCGAAAAACCTTTGCAAGAATACTTTGCTGTGAGACACTTTGACGAAATACCTGTTACAGTCCCAGTTAGATCTACACGGTATATCTATGCAGATGCAGCTAGAGTGGCAGTCACCAAAGGTGCAAGCAAAACAACAAGCATGCAGTGAAGAACGAGTGAAGGAGGGAGAATTACAGAGGAGGTCTCCGAGGAGGGAGCCTTATCGAAGGCGGCGAGCTCTGGCAGGGTTGTGCGGTGGAGAATCTTCAGTTGGAACGGCCCGGCCGTCTGGTGGGGTGGGAGGGGGGCGAAAATAGGGTGAGAAATTAGCTCCACTCAGGAGGAGGAAATAATACAGGCAAGGGCAGCAGGGGAAAGGCATCAGCTTTTGGAACTGAACACGCAAAGCTAATGCCACTAATTATGAGTTAACTTTTATTCTGTTCCTAGCAATTTCCAAAAAGGCAAGGGTAGCAAGAATAAAGGCTTCAATTAGGTTTGGGAACTGCTTCTGTGAACATGCAAAGCTCACAGTTTCCTTTGATTCTGTTCCAAACAATTGCCGTTTTCGTAACTGACTGTAGAATTTGATTCTCCCTGCTGCTACAAACATGTAGCTGTTTGGCACCAAATTGGTTAAGGGGTTAGGCAGCAGGGAGAAGGTCAATATGAATTATACAATGACATGTATGATCCATAAAACTCCAGATATGTACACAAAGTATTACATCTACTTGTCACAACTGTCTATTCTTGATTACAACGAGCCAGACTACTGGTTAGATGTGTTATGGTCACACTTTAACAGCAGCTTCCATGCCACCATATGCACAGCCACCGCTATACATTAAACCTTCAACTTCACTGCCACCAAACTACAATGTATGCCGGCCACACACACTAGGCCACAACCTCCTACTGGTTACTTTTGGTGTTACTTTGAGATGCAGTTACAAGCAGGCTGAGAGGAGCTTTCCCCCAGCCTCATGACGAGACCTACACGTGTTGTGTCAGGAGGGGTGACAGGAGAGCTGTGACCTTCAGAACCACGACCTTCAGAGTCATGACTTTCAGGACTGCGACCTTCAGGGTCACGACCTTCTGGGCTTTGACCTTCAGAGCCACGACTTTCAGGACTGCGACCTTCAGAGTCGTGACCTTCCGGACTGCGACCTTCAGAGCCGTGACCTTCAGGACAGCGACCTTCAGAGTCGTGACCTTCAGAGCCCCGACCTTCAGCTTTCTCCATTTCCTCAAACTCCATCTCCAAGGTCGGTGAAAGGGGCTTTCTGCGCTCCCACGGGGAGACCAGACTCTACAGAGAAAACGGGGACAGTACATGGCAGATGTACATCACTTTTCTCAACCTTCTCATCCCAAACTACATTAGATTAACTCTTAGAATATCTTCTTTTCAATACAGCAAACTAAACTCAAATTTTGTATAACCTCCAGGTCAATCTAACCTACCTGTATCTTCCAGAGTTGATATTAGCTATTATGATAGAACCCTACCCTACAATATGAGATGTACATTGTACTAGTATGTAAATAGCAATACAGACTTTCGTACAATTGTTGCCTAGCACATTGTGCCTGTAAAGTTCATGACAAAACTTTGTGCCAACCTGTGTGTGAAAATTGTGCAAAAACAGCTTGTCGTGATTTGTAAACGCATGCCATGCAGATTACAAGTAGGAAACACAGACTGAAGAAAGAAGGGAAAGTACTGGAGAGTATTCCTGCTCCTTGTGTGGCATCTCAAGTTTGGGGGGCTTCTTCTTCCTCTTCTTCTCCTCCTTCTCTTCCTCCTTCCTTTGCTTCTCGGCTTTCTTGTCCCTTTTCTTCTGCTTCTTTATCTCCTTTTTCAACTCCTTGTCGAATTTGGGCGACTCCTTGTTGTTGTTCCTTGAGTCAGGAGAGCTGAGTTGAGGACTGGGAGGGGGGCTGGTCTCCTATAGCAGTTTCGGAGAACAGGTTAGCAAAGAAGTACAGAGTAGAGACAGCTGGAGAAAGTCAGACCTAGTTAACCTTTGCTGAAGGCAATAACTGTTAAAACAACCTTCAAAGTTTTGCTTTTCTTTTAAAAAGTTCCACTGACATTTAAACTGCAGGATTCTGCATGCAAAAAGATAAACATTGAAGTTAACAATGTCTCAGTTGACTTCCTTGAAACGTTACTGGCAAAATTGCAAAGCGCAGTTTCATGCAGGCAAGACCAACATTACAAGACACACACACCTTGACGGGCTTAAAATGACGCTACATGTAAACGATGAAGAGAAATGTAGTGAGATGAGGACACAAATTTGTGAGGTAGGTTTACAATGAACTTAGTATTATTATAATAATTATGAATCACTTATATCATGTATTATTCTTGATTTTGTTACTGAGATAGAGATGCATTGTCAAGCAATTTCTTGATATATTACTGACTATCACATAACAGAATGGCTTAAAAGTTGGGTTGGATATTTTAAAAACTTATTACAAAGTGAACACAATTAGAAAAATATGACCAGCAGTATGTGCCACATTCAAGCTTTGTGAGCAAATAAAACACAAAATGGACTTTGGACATATGGACTGCAAAGACACCACTTCATTTATAAGCTTATTACAACAAATAATTTGATAACCGACATATTATAACTGTAGTCTGTAGTCAAAGTAACCACAACTTGTCATGCAGTACCAGAAAATAAGCATGTTACTGTGAAAAAGACTGATTCAGCTGATCAAAAAATAACCAAAGAAGGAGGATGTGAAAACATGATTGTGCACAGTGACAACATGGAACCATGTGTGGCAAATAACGTTAAAATACCGAATACCTGAGCCGACAATGTTAATGTTAGAAGACTGGGGAAATGTGCAACATGAACACAACTTGTTGCGTGCAGTGCCAAAAAACATGCCTAAAACTTTGACAAACCAAGAAGCAGCAAAGCAACAACAACCAAGCGAAGACGTGTGCATTCCACATTGTCACAACAACAACTATTAACCTTTAGGCAGAGGTCGACATTAATACACTGAAAAAGTCACTTGACTGAGTGTTTATGTTATTCATCATGTGACAACATGCAACAACAACGACGTGACAGCACTGGATTCACAGTTGGACAAACATGGGCATTTTCCGGGATGCATTAACGCGACGATGCTACCTGCATGAATTTGGTCTTCAGACGTTGGAGCGCCCTAAATCGGTTATGTCGCTGCAGCGTCGCTTCGGTAGTCGGTGGAGGAAGCTTCGCAGAAAAAACAACAACAACACAACTGAACAAAACTATCGAGGAACAGGCATTGCTACATTTTGTCAGAAAACCGACATGTATTTTCAAGACTTCTCTAACGTCAACTATTATCTTTTAATTTTTCATGCAGTACCAAAACCAAAAACATTATTAGGGGGAAAGCTATTAATTACTGGGTGGTTGGCAAAATGAGTGGGAAAGGTGGCTAGCATATATAATTGTTTGCAAACATTAGCTACAATAACATGGATATTGGTATTTAACAAACTACAGTCAAACTTGGTCTCAACAACCTCTCAAAGAATATAGGAAAATGGTGGGCAACTGGTGGTGGTTGCTCCAGACAAGATGGTCTTTAATTGGATTGAACTGTTTTAAAAGAATGTGGCTTAAGGAGGTGGTTAACTGCATTAGGCATCAATGGATCTGGTCTTCAGAACACACTGCACACATTAATTGCACATATCATATCAGAGCACACAGGTACATCTAAAACCTTCAAACAAAACACATGGGCAACATGACAGTTTTTAAACAGTCACCTCCTTCCCATTTATATAACCATTATTCAAAATAGTCCTATGTCTCTATTCGTATATTTGTTTCCTTCCCCAGAGTCTTATTTTGTTTACGGTGGACTGTCTCTTCTTGTCATAATTGCATATTAACCTTCAGCCTGCTGAAGTAGTTGTATTGAAGGTAAGGTTAAGCAGCAGGAAGAAGGTTAACAATCATACTCAATGAGCATTGTAACTGCTTCATACACAACTCCCTTTAGACCCTCAAGAAGTTTTGACTCAGAGATAGTGGTTATTGTGAAATTCTGTCTTGTAAGGTTTCTACTGAGTAAACTATTTCTGTATGTTTGGTGGAACCACATGCATTGACATGCAACTAGAGAGTATCCCAATATGAAATTTCTTTTTCTGGTTAATACAGTTACACATAGATGACAACTTAAAAAAAGGAAAACACAAAGTCACGACAGTGAAAGAACGCACTACAGTCAAACCTGTCTATGGTGGCCACTAAAGGCACTGCAAGCAAATGGTCTTAGTAGACACGTGGGCACAAATTAATAGATTGAATTCTGCTTGTTAATGCTTGGGTCATTGGGGCTTGGAAGAATAATCTTAATTTTTTTTAAGAACAGTCTTGCAAAGTGGGCACAAGGACCAGGTGGTCTTATGTAGAGGTAACCAGGTACTGGCTTGACTGTACATTGCACAGTGTTGTACATCAATGGCCAGGTGGTCTGGTCTTTACGCAGAGGTGGACACTAATACAAGTTTGACTGTACATTATGAATGACCAAGCGGTCCTTACACAGAGATGGTCACTAGTACAGGTTTGACTGTTACTGGTAAACTGTGCTTTTAGACTGTCATATGTACGAAGGAAGAAGGTATAAGTGTGGATTTACATTGTCATCGTGTTCGGGTGAGGCTGTCTGGTCCGGCTGTGGCTGTGGAATGGTGAGAAGTGGAGGCGGGACGGAGTGGGGCTTCTCTGGCACGGGAGGTTTGACTGGCGAGCGGACCTCGCGACGTTGCGGGGACGACGGAGAGCCGGTTTCCCGTGAAGGCGGCGGAGAAGTTGGGACGGGTTCCCGCTTTACTGGGGAGGTTTTCGGGCTGTCGATTTTCGACGTTTTTGGGCTGTCGATTTTCACTGGGGGTGAAATAGGTCTCATCATGGGAGGGGACACTGAGCGGTGTTCTTTCTGCCAGGGGGGTGAGTGTGGGGGGGCACCAGCGCCAGGTTTAGGTGGGGGGGTTGGCACAGGCTGTTGCTGTTTCATCGGAGGGGGAGAGCTGGCAGAGGGGGTCTTTTTAAGGGGTAGTTGAGGCGGGGCTGTTTTGTTTTCCTGTCTGGTCGTTGGGATGTCCTTTTTCGGTGGTATAGTGGGACTGGGGGATTTTTTGGTAGGAGAAACTGCCTGAGTGGTTTGTTTTGGAGGGGGGGTGCTAGTCAGTTTTGGAGTGGGGATACCTGACTGCTTTGGAGGGGGACTACCAGGTTGTTTTGGAGGGGGACTACCAGGTTGTTTTGGAGGGGGGATGCCAATCTGTTTTGGAGGGGGAGTCCCAAGTTGTTTTGGAGGGGGCATGCTAGGTTGAGGGGATGGCTTCTTGGTGAGAGGAAACTCTCTGGCGTGTTGCTTGGTCGGGGATTGGATCGGACGGGGCGACGCCTTCATCGCAGGGGAGTCCTGTCAGAAAAGGGTTAGTACAGTAGGTTGGTACAGGTGTTATTACATAGTCCCTGAGTCAAAAGTGTTGTGGTGAGCACGTCAGCAAAATGAACTGCGCCTGCGCGAAATCTGGTACGTAATGTGCATGTAGCACTTCTACAGAACGTATTGTTTCAGTTCATGTTCATGTATTTAAGAATGACATCCCTTCTATACCAAATGTTGTGGCAGAAAAGATCTCTCAACTGCAATGGGCAAAATTCTGATGTAACGTTGACCAAACATCCAAAGAAAACTGTGTTTCAAGCAGGTGCAGGACATTCTGCCAATATGCTGTTATTATACAGTCCCTCAGTCAAACATGTTACAGTGCAGACACAAATGTTAAGGAGATTAGTCAGGGCACACCCAAGTTACTGTTTCTATGGTTAGGTGATATTACTGAATATTAACCAGTGTGTTTCAGTTCACAACAAGAGATGAAGACCCACAAATTCAGCTGTGGAGGTTGATTAATAGGAAAAATGGTGGTTTGATTCCCATGAGCTTCTGACTAAAGTACACGTAAGACTTACTTAATGTGTGATCTACATTTGTATTCATATATAAACCTGACCACCTATTGGGGCTTTGCCTCTTGTTGTACCTTTCGTCATTGTTAACCATGCCAGTAGCATTAATTTACAAAATGACTGACTGGTCTGACTTACAGCCTCATGTGGCACATAATCACTCCACACTACATTGCATCATGTACTACCCATGCAAAAACTTACTGTGTCAAGATGTTCTAAGTTCGCGAACAAATAATCACAAATTGCCATTGCCAACCAACTGAAGGCATGCCATGCTTTGGGTTGAAACTGCTGGCCAAAAAACTGCACTGTGCGAGGCAATGGGTAAGCTGACCAATCATGCAGATTTAACGAGTATGTGTTCTCTTTTCTCAAGGTCACATTTCTCAAGGTCATGCAGTCCAAGGGCACCTTGGTCTGGTCCTGTGGGGAGTCCTGAAGGTCAGACTGTCCTGGGGAGGTCGTCTCGGAGCTCACAGACGTCGAAGACGGACTTATCACCATCTGCTCCTCCTTGGAAGGAGTAGAGCTCTCCGTCTCAGACGCGGAAGGCTCCTTGGACTCAGGTTCTGGCTTCCCGGCAGGCTTTGCCACGTCCTCGGGTGGCTTGGCAGGCTGTGGCGAGGCCTGTTGGGTAGGGGGCAAGGGTCAAGCATGGGTCTGGGCTGTACTGTACACTCACAGACCAGTGTGTTTACCAAGATCACACTGCCCATGCTTAATATACTCGTGAGGAGTACCATGGTTTGAAGTTGGAAGCAGTGACGCACACACAGACTTGTACCATAGAAGAAGGAATCTCATGAATTGACATGAAATGAGTTTAATACACTGTGTATGTGTATTAAATCACAGTGATGTAAAAGTACAGATACTTGAATGTGTTCCACACTCAAAAGTTCATGACAAGAACTACATGTACAACAGGCAAGAACACAGATGGTGGAATGATATTTGTCACTGTGGTGTGGTAAGTAAATACCCTTGCATCAAACTCTAGGGTTAGCATTTTCTTGGTTTGAAACCCACAAACGCATGACCACAATATCACACCACTATACCCTCTTGGAAACGTGAATCTGTTTGACCTTTGACCGGGCGCGAAACGACTCCGGTTTAAACAACACGGCAAGGAGGGCTACACGCCTCTTCTGCAGTTTCTCCTCCAGAAGCTAGGGGGAGATGATAAAGGAAGGGACAGGTATGACTCAAAAGATGAACAGGCTAAATGGTGAAAGAAATCTGAATACAAATGTACATGTATATGCAGGTAATGTAGATATCATAATAAAAAAGAGTCTCACAAAGTACATGTGTTGCATGCACAAACAAACAAGATGATATTATCATTCTGTACAACAGAAGTTTCACTGCAACAAAAGTACCAATGTATATCAATCAAGTCAACCAAAAGAAAATCAAGAAACACTTAGCAATACAGGTCATATTAAAAGGGTAGTTAAAATGGCACTTCCAGAGTCCCAACTATATGTAGGTCCCTATGTGTTTCCCTAAGAAACCTTGCTGAAAGAGGGTAAATGTTCATAATGAAAGCACTGAAATTAATAACATGACAACACAGCAAAGACAGTCTTACATGCATAGGCATTTATGTCACAACCAGCATACAAATAACCTGAAAAAGTAACTTGTGTGAAATGTTGTGACAGGTGCCAGTTACACTGCATGTTGGTAACACACAGTCCATGCGAAACAGGTATCAGCTGTAATTTCCAACACAAAAATTGGACTTACCCAAAAGTCCAATTTTAGAAATTACAGCTCAGACTTGCTTCAGAGTCAAATGGCAGTTATGAAGTATGCTTCTTAATTAATGGGGGATAGTGTCATACATGTAGGTTGTTCCATATTTGGTAAAATCAGGGGTCACTGACCTGAATGCTCTGTAGTCTCCTCTCGTGGTCCGGTGTGAGACCCTTGATCTCCTCCAGGAGTTTCTCCTGATCAGGCTCGCCCTTCTGCTCAAACACGGGAACCTGCGCAGGACGGTGCTCCTGGACCGACGCTAGTCTGGGGGGAACGATAGAATGAATGAATACAGGTAAGATTATTGCTAATTCTTATCCTAAGACTAATTGCAAAAATGAATACAGTAATTATAGTACTGTGGTCTAAATACTGACTCTAAATGATAACTTGTTGGGTTTGACCACTTTTTATGAAAAGCTAAAGAATAAAGCTCCCAATTAAATATGTGGGATCTGTGATTTTAAGAAGATTTCTTATCTAGCATAAGGATGCTCCTACTGTACTTGGTGACGATGAGTTCCACTTTACAACAGTTCTAGAAAAAGGGACAGAAAAGGGACCCTGTTCACAAGTCTCACCTCTGTAACGTGTGCAGCGTTCCCGTTAGTTTCTTGATCCTCTTGAGCGCCCCCTCAACCTTATCTGTCTCATCCTTCACAAACCTGGGGATGGAAGGCTTGCATGTAAGAGATGTGTAGCTCCAAAATGTTTCACCACACTTTCATAAACTGTCTACTGACTCTTAAACACTTGACAGTAACACTAACACTTGACCTCTGACACTGACCTTTCCTCCTGCACCACGACCTCCATCTCCGCTGACAGGACGGCTTTCAGTTCCTCGTTCAGCCCAGGCCAGGTGTCTGTTGGGATTCAACAAAAACGTATCAGTTCCTGTCCTTGGTGCTGAATGCCATCTACACACAAACATGCCTTTCCTTGGAGCTGAATGCCATCTACACACAAACATGCCTTTCCTTGGTGCTGAATGCCATCTACACACAAACACGCCTTTCCTTGGTGCTGAATGCCATCCACACTCAAACATACCTGTCTTTGGTGCTGAATGCCATCCACACACAAACACACCTGTCCTTGGTGCTTAATGCCATCCACACACAAACACACCTGTCCTTGGTGCTGAATGCCATCCACACACAAACATGCCTTTCCTTGGTGCTGAATGCCATCTACACACAAACATGCCTTTTCTTGGTGCTGAATGCCATCTACACACAAACACGCCTTTCCTTGGTGCTGAATGCCATCTACACACAAACACGCCTTTCCTTGGTGCTGAATGCCATCCACACACAAATACACCTGTCCTTGGTGCTGAATGCCATCCAGACTCAAACATACCTATCCTTGGTGCTGAATGCCATCCACACTCAAACATACCAGTCCTTGGTGCTGAATGTCATCCACACACAAATACACCTGTCCTTGGTACTGAATGCTATCTATGCACAAGCATACCAGTCCTTGGTGCTGAATGCCATCAACACACAAACAAGCCTTTCCTTGGTGCTGAATGCCATCCACACTCAAACATGCCTTTCCTTGGTGCTGAATGCCATCCACACACAAATACACCCGTCCTTGGTACTGAATGCTATCTATACACAAACATACCTGTCCTTGGTGCTGAATGCCATCCACAACCACACACACACCCGAACAAACATGCCTGTCCTTGGTGCTAAACACTATCAACACACAAACAGCCCTGTCCTTGGTGCTGAATGCCATCCACACAATCCATGCACTCTATCCTTTTTAAAGTACATAGAACCTTTCTGCATTTAGATTCATTTTAGTTTGCTTTCACGAATCAAGTCATGCTTGTCCTTGAAAGGAAGACATCTTAAGCAATGGAAGAAGCTGTACCTTGGAGTTCCCTCCAGTCCTTCTCTGACCTGCTGAGAGCCTTCAGCATGGCTTCCACGTCCCCGACACTGACTCTGCAGCGCTTGTTCACCACGTCTGTACGCACCTCCTCCACCCATCTCTCCAGCTCACTGTGGAAGCAACATAATCATACATGTCATACATACATACCTGCAACATGCCTTGAGCTGTGCACCTTATATCTGTACCTGTATATGTAAGATTATAGTACAGGTCCAGCCCTGAACATCTGGTGTTCATCAATCCCTTTTGAATATATGTGGTTGATTTTTTTTCACATACTCAAGTTTGGGATCTATTCAAGGGAGGTAGTTTTTTTTCACTTGCTCAAGTTGTGGCTCTCTCCAAATCATGCATTAGATTAGTCAGACTCCCTTAAGACTGTAGTGACTATAGTAACTGGCAAGTGTGTTCAGAGACTAAGATCTGATCCCTAAAGCTTGTAATCAAGAAGGGTATCTCATAATGCACTGAATTGTTATTCACTCGACTTCAACATTACCTTAGCTTTTTTTCCACTATTTCAGCTCTCTTCCGGTAGTTGTGCATCTCCAGGTCGACCCTTGACCTCTGTGTCCTGACAGGGTGCATGCTGCCGCTCGGTGACCTGCTCAGCCTGACCTGGATCTCTCTCTTCACCCTGGGTCAGAGGGAAAAGGTTACGGACTAACATCACAGTAAGGTCAGATTGGACTCTACAGTCACCTGAGGACACACCCTACTACAGAGGGATGACAAAGTGGTCCTCGTCAACCTGACGGACGAATGACACAAGGTCAGATGAACTAGTGCTTGAGGAGTACCATTATAGTTGGCAGAGAAACAGTATTTCAAAACTACCTTCACCACAACGTTATATCACTTTGTGGCAAAAGCTAATTATGCCCCACCAATCTACATGTACTTCCTTGCCTTGGTTCATGTACATTTTACATTTTTTCGTGAAAATACAGCAAGCAGACATCATAAAAGCAGAGGGCAGGGAGGAAGACTTGAGTGTACCATGGCATAGACCTGGTTATTAGGCTTAATTGAGGTGGCCTTAAAAGGAAAAAAACTTACTTTTCGAAGGTATCGTTCATCTCCTGTGTGTTGTGTCTGTGGATGATGCGGAGCTGGTTCAGCTGTTCTCTCAGTCCCTTTGTCGTATGATGTAATCTCCTCGCCTTTTCTGCTACCTGCTCGTCTGGCACTGGGGAAGAGGCGCGACCGGACACTGTACTCACACTCTCCGCTGGGGGGGACAAACCATGTCAATGTGTATGGATTAACACAGTACCCTTTCACTTAAAACTACAAGGAGAAGAATGACCAGACACCGTGATAACACTCTAAGCTGGGGAATAAAAGATGGCTATTCTTTACAAAAGGTAAAGGTAGTCTGAGGACAAAGGGGCAGTGGGTTGTTAATCCACTGTGTCTAGGGCACAGTATTGGAAGGTAGAGCTGAAAAGTATCAAAGTATTTTAAAAGTAATTATTGAAGAAACCACTTACCACTGAATCCTGAGTGTGAGCTCTCGGACCTGGTAACGCTGGGATGTCGTCCCTTGTCCTCATCCTTCCCGGGCACAGGCGCAGCGCCGGCGGAAGCTGCCTGCGTCTCGTCCCCGTGAGTCAGCGCTGTCTGCACCAAACCCGCCAGGCTGGCGATCTGCTGCTCGATGCTCGCCATGCGCTTTCTGGGGTGTACGGAAAGTGCGAAATGGAGCAAAATCGAATGAAACATGAAACGTATTCTAGTCCTTACTCAAAACATTATAATGATACAGCAAAGGACTGAATGCCATCCACACTCAAACACACCTGTCCTTGGTGCTGAATGCCATCCACATTCAAACACACCTGTCCTTGGTGCTGAATGCCATGCACAATCAAACACACCTGTTCTTGGTGCTGAATGCCATCCACACTCAAACACACCTGTCCTTGGTGCTGAATGCCATGCACAATCAAACATACCTGTCCTTGGTGCTGAATGCCATCCACACTCAAACACACTTGTCCTTGGTGCTGAACACCATCCACGCACAAACACACCTGTCCTTGGTGCTGAATGCCATCCACACAACACTAAGTTTTTGAAAAAAAGGATCATCCTTGCAGTTGGTACTTCATACAAAAATCTTACTGCTTGCATTTGTGTAACTTCTCTGTTCCATTTTGCCCTAGATTATCTAACCTTGCTTCATCATCATTCACAATGGGAGAAGAAGTCCCCGACGTCTGTGACGACCCGTAACCACGGCGATGACCCGTGCGGAGCTGCTGGATGACCTCGTCCTCCACGTCCGACCCTGTCAGGTGCGGTAAAGAGCGTCGGCCACGAGGTTGGGTCCCCATGACGGGGGAAGCACGCGAGCCACCTGGGTTAGTGAAATGTCCAGTAAAGAACAGCCACCAGGCGAAATGGGGGAGGGGGGTGAGAGGGAAGGTTGTTCCAGTTCAAAAGGCTAAAGTCTGCTCCTAGTGACCTTGAACGGTTTTCCCTGATGCCATCCTCTCCCATCTCCGAGTTAATGTAATGTCCAGTAAAGAACAGCCACCCAGAGATGGGGGAGGGGGGTGTTTTAGAGAAGGTCGTTCAAGGTCGGCAGGAGAAGGGGGATGTGGGGTTGGAGAGGGTTAGGAATAATGGGTTATGGAACTATTGCTTTAATGTATACTGGGACTATAAGACTATGCACCACTGCACTCATGAAAAAAGTAATATACAAAAGTCAAATGAAAAGATGGAAATTCTATGATTCAAACCAAGAAAGTGGAAAACTGAAGATAAAGAGTTAAGCAACAAAAGCTGCATCAGGCTGGATTAAATGCCAGGAGATGACCTTTGTGCTTCCTCCCATCTGCAAGCATTACAACTTCTCTTTCAGTTCTCTGCAATATGTTTGAGCAACATCTTCTTTGAGCAACTTTTTATTGTTGCTTTGTTTTCTGTTACCCTTAGATATGCACAATTGCTTTTCCATGCCTATTTACAACCCAAATTTACAAAGTACTTAGCTATATATGCCCTTTGGCATTGACCTTGGAGCATAGCAGTTATCTAGCACGGTCTGCAATTAATAAAGCTGTTCTTTCCACAACAAAAAGGAAATATAGTGTCCTTGTATTTAGCTTTATCTATGTCATTTTCACCTCCACCCTCCCCAAAGATATTCCCTGTTCTGCTCCTTCCCTACTACTCACTCAGCTGCTTACCTGAGCCAGGGCCTGACGTCTGTCTTTGGTACATGGCTGGTGCATGCTGGGAGGGGTGCATCTTCTGGCCGGGGTGCCGGCCTGCGTGTGCGGGAGGGGGGCCCGCTGACCCTGACCTCTGGATGGGATGGGGCTGACCCGGCCCTGCTGGCCGCGGACCTTCAGAAGATAGAACATTCAAGGTCACACGTTTGTCCTCTAGCAAAGGTGGCAAGGTGGTCTACTGGTTAGGGTTGCTGACTTAAAATCTATAGAATCTGCATTAGAATTGCTGGCAGGCCAAAGAGGACAATTTTGACAATTTAGCACTCAAAAATCAGGAAAAATCTGTAAGATACTCTTGATTTTAGATTAAGAAAGACAGTTGGCATGTACAACAGTTATATATAATTGGCCAAACTTGTTTGGGTGTCCAAGCCTGTACTTCAACCTGTATAACTGTACTTGTAACTTTTTACTTGTACCTAAAATTTGTTAGGGACAAACTTCAGTGTGAATGGACAGTAATACCTCACCTTGAGCAGGTCTGTGTTGGTAGTAGTTGGGCATGCTAGCTGACTTGGGTACTCCAGCTGGCATGCCCGGGTGACCTTGGGGATGACCTTGTGGACGACCTTGAGGCGGGGTCCCTCTCTGTGGATGACCTGGAGGTGGCGTTCCTCTCTGTTGTGGCACCTGATCGAAGAGAACAGTGCCCTGTCATCTCTTAGTCATGATACTTTTGCATGACTTTATGCCCAGCAAACATAGTTAAATACAAGAGGTGAAAGCAAATTACCACCAAATAATGGTGAAAGACCAACAATGCACACCATAGAAAGTGAAAAGTCCATCTACATGTAAGCAAATAATAAGAAATTGCCAGGCTGTTTTCACATCCAAAGTTTCGGTGACCAACACCTTCTTCGGGGCAACAAGGACTGGTTCTGATTTGTACTGCAGCTATGTGTCGCTGCTGCAATATTACAAACGACGTCCCAAAAAGTAGAGCTCTGTCACAATGACAAAATATAAACATATTGCCCTGAAGATGGTGACAGCCAGCCACAAAAATGTTGGATGTGTAAATATACTGGCTATAGAAATTATGCAGCCTTCTGCCAACTCTACTACTCATGAAATTATGCATGTCCACCCACCTGTTGTGCAGCGTAAACATAAGTCGCATGTTGCTGTGCCACATGTGGGGAGTGGGGTGAGGTGCGGGGGTGGGGTGCTCCCTGCTGGGGGTGGGGGGCTCCTTGCTGGGGGTGTGGGGGCCCCTGATGAGGGTGGGGGGATCCAGCCTGTGGGTGGGGGGCCCCGTGTTGGGGAGGCTGGATGTTAGGTTGAGGTGCAGCCTGAGACTGGCTCACGTAGTACGTGGTCTGCTGTCGGCTAACCTGGAGGTACGGGTGAAAAGATATGACAGCTGTGAACCCAAAACTGGATTGATTTGACAAAAGTGCAGAACCAGCCACTTTAATTTATATGAGGATTTAACCATTTATTTAGATATGTCTCTTTGTGAGAAGTAAAAAGAAATCAATCTACAGCTACTTCCCAACATATAAACTGAACTGATTTGTGATACTATGTGGCAGTTGGTAAGTCAATGCTATTCAGATTCAGATATGACAAAATCCAAGTTTACCCAGAGTATCACAAAATGGTTCTGTACATAAGTTAGAAATCATAGATTTATGATTAGGAGACTGATCAAGTTGACACAGAGGCACAAGTGTGTGTGGTTATGTGACATCCTAAAAAGATCCTAAAAATGACCAACAAAGCTTGTATACGAATACAGGGCTCTTCTAGGAAATCCTTATGTGCTTTACCTGCTGTTGTTGGTGTTGAGGGGGTGGGGGACCCCCCTGGGTGTGCCGTGGTGACGCAGGAGGGGGAGGGGCTGCGTGGGCCGGCTTCGGGGGGCCACTCATGGGGGGTGGCGGGCCTCTGGACTGTAACAGGACAATGTACAAAGATTAGTAAGAGGCACGCAATTTAAAGGACTGGTAGAAGAAACAAAAAGAACATATTTCTTCAAGATTTAAAAAAATTTTAAAACCTTTAATTATAGTTATTAGTACTTCATGTATGGTATAGATTATTTGTGAACTTCCCATACAAAGACACAACATGTGTGTTGACAGGTGTGTTACTGGCTGCCCAGGTGGGCATGGGTCATTGCTGTGCTCATGTGTGTTACAGGTGTGTTAAGAGGCTTGTCACAGGTGTATTACAGGTGTGTTACAGGTATGTTACCTGTGGATATGGGTGTCTATCTCTGTATTGTAGACTCTGGACTTGCTGTTTGTTGTGCTCCTGTGTGTTAAAGGTCTGTATAGGTGTGTTACAGGTACATGTATGTTACCTGTGGATATGGGTGAGGCTGTCTCTGTACTGTAGACTGTGGACTTTGCTGTTTTGGGGTGCTGTGCCCGTGTGTTAGAGGTGTGTATAGGTGTGTTACAGGTATGTTACCTGTGGATATGGGTGAGGCTGTCTCTGTACTGTAGACTGTGGACTTTGCTGTTTCGGGGTGCTGTGCTCCGACGAGCTGCCCGACTCCGAGACGTGGTTACTCAGCTGCTGAATCTTCTGCTCATTGCTCTGTTTGATGAGTTGGTAGGTCTGGTGGGACGTGTTGTGGACGGCTGTCTGATACCGAGGGCTGGGTCTGCAAAAAAATATAAAAAATAATGTTAAAGATGTACCAAACCTCAGTTGGTACATTGTACATTAAATGTGGTGATCAGTGTAAGATGAGTTGGTAGGTGAAGTCAGGTAACCATTTTACACCCAGGTGGAGTGAGAAAAGTTGTTTGCCTTTCTCAAGGACACAACATCTTGCTGGGAATCAAACCCGCAACCTCTCAATCTCATCTCTGCTAGCCCAACTACCCGACAATTGTTAATTCTGAACCAATAGATATTAATGGTTACCTATATGTAAACTACATAGGAGTACTTACTGTCTCTGTCTGGCCATGTCGGGGTGTGGTGACGGCCCGTTCCTGACCGAGTCGGTTCCATCCTCCTCGATCACCAGACTCACGTTAGACACAGTCGTGGAGGACAGGGTGGAGTTGGGGGAGGGCGTGTGGTACATCGGCAGGGTGTCTGCTAACCCGGGAACATGGATCTTCAGACAAGCTCTGTCCTGAACCTCTCTGGAAAAACACACAAACATCATCATAATCATTATTATACAAACATTGGTAAAGAGTTTGCTGATCACAACACATCTGTATCTGTTTAGCCAGTATAACCGCACTTTGGCGTAACACACCAGCTTGTGGACCTTCAAACAAGATCTGATCTCCCAAACAACACTGTCAGTCAACTTACCTGGAAAAAGTATTGCGGAAGGTTTCAATCCAGAAAGGTGTTAACAGTTTTCAAGGCACTCTTCGGAACAACACAGGAAAAGGAACAACAGACAAACTACAAAATGTACCTCCACAGTCTATATCCTCAGGAGAAAGGAGAAAGCCAGTTGTCACGATTCCTTGACTTTTAGAATGTTTCTGATTATCCAAAGTCAAGGGTTTCTGACTATCCAAAAGTCTTGCCTGGCTTTTCTAAACAGCAGCGGACCTAAAAACATACACACAGTCTGCCTTGTCCATAAAACAACAAACAGCTTGCGCTGTACCAACTTTATCATGGCAAGGCCTTATATTAACTCTCTCTTATAAAAATTCCCTAGACAGTTGAGATAGTCCTCCTGCCATATGACTATGGGCCAAAGAAATTTCATGGAGTTGGTTACATTAGCTCAACTGGTTTAACAGCAGAGAAAATCTAGTATCAATGCTGTATCAACAAAACATCTGTGCAAGAAGGCAACAACCAACGTCAGGCCAACGTCGCCAAGCTGTTTTTTTAAACACCACTTTTATTGCTGTTTGTTGGACATGGCCTTGTGCCAACATGTGGAACATTTCAGGCAGGGGAAACATCAACACTCTACAAGCCTCTGCAGACAGTGTCAGTCCTCAGCTACAGGGTGAAGGTCTGCATGGGGGGCTCCCTCAGCTGTAGTGTGGGGATTTGCATGGGGGTCACTTCAAGCTGCAGAAAACCGAGCCAGTCTCCAGTTGGAGGGTGGGGGCTTGCATGGGGGGTTGCCTATAAGCAGACAGCATCAGTCTTCAGCTGCAGCCTGGGGGTCTGCATGGGGGGGTTGAGTGAGTTACAAGGATACCCTACAAGCCTCAACAAACAGGGCCTGTCTTCAGTTGGAAGGTGGGGGTCTGCATGGGGGGGGGGGTAACCCTGCAAGTCTCAGTAGATGGCATCAGTCTTCAGCTGGAGGGTGTGGGTCTGCATGGAGAGTACCAGATTACCTGACTTCTAGGCACTGATGACAAAATGTTCTAAAAGTGATTCAGACACATCCCTAACACATAACGTGTGTGCTAAATTCAACCGCCAGCTAGTGCATTGGGGCAGATTTACGACAAATCAAAATGGTTCTGAATGCAGGCCCTCAGTATATATGGGCATGTGAGGGCCTGTGTAGCATCAGTGTTTTCAACAAGTCTTAGGTCTTGAATTTAACGGACAGCATACCGAGATAACATACACCAACATTTAGATGCCAAGCGAGTTTCCAGCCAGTAATATATGGGTATTTTAGCCAGATCTAAACCAAGTGGACAACTCTGTTTGGTTTATGTGCAGCTGTTTTATGTTCTTGTTTATTAGCTGATGGAAGGAGGTTGATCTAGCGCGAGATTAGCCATTCTTTACAAGTTAATGGTGTTAAGAAACTTCTGAGATTCAGGAAGACACAGGCCAAGTGTCATGAAATTTATGATGAAATTCATGAAAGAAGTGGGCCCAGTATGGTGAAATGGAAGTACATGTAATGGAGTAGCACAGAAAGAACATTTTAGGTGAAATACAAAAAAATGCAAAATCCTTGACAGACCAGGATTGTACATAGTAAAGCCTGTCCAATGATTTTTAAAATCTTTCGCATTGACACAAGCACTAAGAATCCTGTCTACAGTGACCACCTGTCCACAAAGACCTGGTTTTACTAAGCGATCTTCTTGGGCAGTTTTGACTGTGTTCGTGCCAAATTTGACTTAATATATACTGACAGGCACGTGTCAACTTTTTTTTGCTGAGTCCAGTCCAGACAGCCAGACTCTTGGCACCGAAATCCGCCCACGTCTTACATCTCACCCCACCCTTCCTGGAGATGTCTTAATCCTATCTTCTGCTAACCCGATGTCTTGGCACTGATTCTGCTACTACTAGTCTGAAGTCTCAAAGGAAACTCGAGTCAGTCTGGGAGAGCTACGAATTATCTAGGCACAGGAATTTAGAAAAAAAAATTCTTTAGCCTAATGCTCACATATCATCTTTGAAAAAAATTAAAATCTACATACAAAATAATCATTGCCTCATTCACAAAGGATTAAAAATTTGAGAAGAAAGAAAATTTTTAGTCAGATTTTGTCCATTTTTGGTCTTCAGTTTGTTCTCTCTTCTCTTTCATACAAAAATGATTGAAAACCACAAAATTGTGTTAAAGTGGCCCCTTCAGCTGACACACCCTGATAGAAGACAGAGACACTCGGGATCACTTCAGGTCAAAGTCAGGTTTATCTGGCTGCCAATCATCCCCAACTTTCCTCTGGGGAGTTGGGGAGGAAACATGCAGGTGGAAAATATCAGGATCAGTACTTAATATGAAGGGTACATTCAATGTCATCAATGTGACTGAGGATATACAATGACTGTATTATGTGGAAATTTTCCACAAATACAATTTGCAAGCAACCACTGTCAAAACTAGTACTATTTTGCTACAGTGGCAAATCCTACATCAACATTCCCAATATTCATAGAACGTTGTACATGTACACGTTCCATCAAACCTAAAACTCAGTCCAATGGCTTTGGGTTATGACCTACTAGAACTGGTCTACTAGAAACTATCTTATGATTTGCAGAAGAAACCTACACTGTGCAAACAAACCAACAAAGTAAGAAAAGCTGGTAAAACCATTTCACCTCTTTCAGAATAAAATGGCAGAACTGCATGTCAAAACCCAGTGGAATCTACATGTTGAATGTATAAGTTACGCCCCCCCTTCCCCACCGGTGTGTTTATGCTCTATGTGAACCATAGCCCAGCCCTGCCTACCTAACAAATGGTTCCAGTTAAAGGCTTACCCCTGCCGCTGGTTCACAGCCAAGTGATCCCTGGGTTTACTTTAGCTCTTATCAGAGCTATGGAGAAAACAGATCTGCCCCAATCATGATAGAGAGGGGAGACAAGTTCATTCAAGTTCAAGTTAAACTAACCAGGGATTGTGTCTTAGGACTTTGAAGTTATCATTGGTGACGACAAGCTTTAGTATCACTCACTCACTCATTACTGATTAAGTGATTAAGATATATCAATTGTATTTGGCAATGAACATTTCGAAGGGCAAAAAATGGAATTTTTGACTGATTTATCAATCATTTCAAGGTCAAGTATTTCCCTAACTACAACAAAAATCTATTTTTACACAAGGAGGTGGAAGTCTTAGATCTTTCCAAAGGCATGTGAAACTTGAGTGCAAGTTGACATGTACAAATGTAGGACAAAGAACTACATGAAGTGGTGACGATCATGAAATGTTGTTGACAGGAGAGCAACACTTCAGTCCACTTCACTGAATAACTACTAGCAAATACGAAGCGCGTCAACAAGTGACAGACAGTGGTTGTGTATTGTTTATTTTGACATCGCCATGGAGACAGGAGTGACCCATAGAGTGCACGATTTGGAGAAAAACCCAAGTCTTGACAAGCATGCTGCAAACACTTGTGAGGAACTCAGCCAGAACCCCCGAGGGACCAGGCAGGCGTCTTGTGAGTGTACCTCATGACTAAGGCCCCGTTCATGATTGGATATCTGTTGCGAATCAATTCGATTTAAAAAAATAAATCGATTCATTTAGGAACATGAACGCTCCAAACCGGTTCCGTTGCGATTTATTCTGAACCACCTCGCGAGGTGGTCTGAAACGATACGATACGATTCGCATTCGTAGAATTGTAATCATGAACGCGCGGATGCGAATCGTTCCGGTTCGACGCTGTACACCCGGGTACGAGGGGGCCACGGTCGGCCATAGTTTGCGGCGCAGTGGCTTGTACTGCCGAAATTCTACTTGAATCGTACACTTGACATCGAGTTCTAATTACTGGTCGACTGAGGAAACAGGAGTTCCGATATTGACTTGGGTAAATCAGGAGATCCAGAGGAAACTGGATGGTGTGTACTAGAACCTACCCTGGGCGCAAGGGCGAGTGGTAGCCCAACGGGAACGTTGGGGCGGCGGACCGTGGGGGTTTGCGCTAGATGCGTCCGGGGCACAGCCTATGCCATGGGGAGGACATGAGTCGGGAACGAGCGACCACTCGCCCGGACAGGCGTAAACTCTCCGCCTTACGAGCCGGGTTCTCAGGAAATATTCAAAGAAATTGTGATATACATATGAAAGGAAAGTCAATTCGAGGTGTGAAATCGTTTCCAGTGTGGGTTCAAGTTTTGAATCACGGACGCAAAAATATATTCCGCTTCGATTCGGATCGTGGCCAAACCGGAACACATTTCAATCATGAACGAGGCCTAAGACTCTGGGTCAGACTACTTGAGAAAAGGCCACTACACTGGGGTGGGGGTCGGGGCTTGGAACATACCATTTCCCTGCAGGGGCCTAACATTCACAGGCGAGTGTATACATTACACTTACAGTGTACTGTTCTGAACAAAGGAATCATGATCATGTTAATGTTGTTACGTAGCAGGTCAAGTGCCAACGTGGGACTCATCTGCCATGTTTGTTGTTGAATGTGTTTGAGCTCTGCATTAGACGTTGTGTTCATCTATATTTACTGTGATCTCAGATCTGCTGTACTGTGAAGTGATCACTACATGTACCATGAAAAAATTATTCACAGACTTTCTTTTTGCTGCACCTGACACCACCGTGAATGTATAATTCCACAAACATGTCCATTCTCTCAGACCACAAACTTTTGCTAATGCGAACATAAAGTGATTAACACATTTCAAAGAAGCCACGTGACAAGCCCCACTGGGTCAGTCTACTGAGGAAGACCAGAGTGACTGGTTGAAAGCTCTAGGTGAGAGAACTTTTTGTGTTGGATCAAAAGTTTTAAGTTTAAACATATAACTACCAACACAGATGAACTTTTATGATAGTATCAAACTTACTTCATCTCCTCCAGCTCGTAGTAGACGTCTGACTTGCTGTCTCTGATGTAGATCTTGATGTGGGGCTGCTCCATGATCTGCATGGTGAGGCGGTGGGGGAACGCTCGCACGAACATCGCCCGCACCGTGTCCAACCCCGTCACCTCGTTAGGCATGATGGAACGCTTCGTCTCATCATTCACTTGTAGGTACACGATACCTGCGATAGGTGAGGAGGAAATGAGTTTAAAAATTCAGCATCTTTATGATATAAAAATTAAAGTTGTTTAAGACAGGGAGAAATCTGAATTTTTTCTTTATTTGACTATAACAGATGAGGAGAAAACTGGTTTAAGGATTTTCAGCATCTTTACGATATAAAAATTAAAGATGTTTAAGACAGGGAGAAATCTGAACTGTTTCTTCATTTGACTATAACAGATGAGGAGAAAACTGGTTTAAGGATTTTCAGCATCTTTACAATATAAAAATTAAAGATGTTTAAGACAGGGAGAAATCTGAACTGTTTCTTCATTTGACTATAACAGAATAGGAGAAAACTGGTTTACGGACTTCTAGCATCTTAAAAGTTTAAGAAATCTGATATTTTCCTTTATTTGAATTGATTGCTTTAGAATATGCAAGGAGAAACTTGGCTGGAAGCCCTCATGTTGAAGTTAAAGACATTCAAAACAGGAAGAGGAGACTTGGCTTAAGGCCTTCAGTTTGAAGCCATTCAAAACAGGAAGAGATCTAAAACCTTCATTTGCCTGGTGAACTGATGAGGAAGATACAGGTTCGTACTACTGTTTACAGGCTTTAAATTTGCCACAGCATTATCAACAGATGCTCTTCATTGATGTACAGCAGTGCTTCTACACTTTGAAGCATATTAAATAGGCTTTTCTAATTAGCAGTATACAAGACAGATGGATACTAAAGTACTTTAAGCTTTGTTTACAACTACTACTAACTGATTATTGGTTGATTTCAGATTTGTGACAGCTCTAAATGTACCTACAGAATTAGATCTAGACATTTCTAAGTCAATTTTCTGACTACTGATGTTTATTCATTTATGACTACTGACGTTCAGAAAAAGTTGCCAGAGCTCATCACAAATAAAAACTACCAGCCTAGCATATAAATGAGGAAAAAAGATCAGATTGCCTTCCCTCGAGTTATATTCTGGTAGTGACTTAGTTCTGGCAACTTTCCCATGTCCTCCTGATTACTGTCTGGCCTCCTGCACCTTCTCTACTACTCACCCAGGGACACAAGCTGTCTCCTACCACCTCCTTCTCCAACATAAACAAAACAAAAACCAAAAACAAAGATGTAACACAGGGAGGAACCTGTCTGCAATGCTTGGATATGTTTTCCTATAGACTTTGGTATCCTGAGTGGTAGCCTATTTGTTAACCGGGACTCCGTAAAAAATATTTTACTGGAACGTGGATGGGAGCCCCTAGAAACAAACAGGATGGCACTCAGGTTGAAGATTGTTGCTTTTTCTTTTTTTTCCATTTTAAAATTGCTTTCTGGTGTTTTACTATGTTTCAAGAAGGACCAAGCACTGACAACAAGTTGGGGTTATGAGGAAGCAAAAAAGACAAAAAAACTTAAAAACACAAATGTATTAAAATGTAGTGAATCTACAGCTAAGACTATAGTTAGATACTTTTAATTTGTTAATTTCATATTTTATGTGCATTTAATCTACATGTACATGTAGACAAACTAGTGCAGTTAAGGTGCTGTTTACAGTAAGGGGTGCAGGTAACACTAATAAACAGTATTGCTCTAATCTGAACTTGTGCTATTCACACTTTTAACAAAACATTTACATTTGAATTGGTACTGTTCACTAAACTAGTGCAGTGCAGTTCACACTCACATATGTGAATACAAACAAATTAATATTGGTGCTCAACACAATTGCACAATACTTGATGAAGACAACTTCTGTGCCTGTCCTATAACTATTTGTTTCATTGCTTGATCATTTTTCTTTGTCAAGTTAATGGCTACAAATATGTATTGCATTGACTCTTCTGTTTGTTGACTGCCTTTGAGTTGTAAAATGGTTTTTCAAATTACTCTTTTTTAAGTATTACATAATTGAATTTATGGTTTTCACTTACCAGTTTGTCAACACAGAAGGTTTGAGTGGATAAAGTTTACAAATCAAACATGACTTGATGATATGAAGGACATGTCACTTGTTCACACTTGACACCAAGGTTGCCACACCCCCACACCCATATCTTGACCGTAACTTTCTTCTCAAGCATTTTAGTTAAGTAGCTGCCACGTTAACAGGCCCTGTCCAGGTGAGACAGGTGTAAAGACAGGTGTGTGGTCTCACCTGTCAGGTACAAGTGTTCTCACACACACACCTGTCTGGATGTTAGACAGGTATGTTTAAGGTAGTGGGTGGGGCAGCTGACATTCATGTCAGCAGTTAACAATAGGCTTTGGTTAGAAAGTAATTACGAACCAAATATCTACCTACAAGCTGCAATTTGCCAGCAAAAACTGAGACTCTGGGTAAAAGTTTAGAAACTTGAGAGTTTGCAGGCTAAAGTCCAACAATCCAGCGTATTGGTGTATTACTCTTTAATATACAAATAAACAAACCTGCCCTTAGATTTCTCCTTGAGCATAGCATGGGTGTGTGCACCCTGGTATACTTTTATTGTTAGTCTTCTTTTTTCCCCTAAACATTTGTTGTGTTGCATTCAAACAAACAAAACACAAACAAAGGCCACTACCGACTACCCCCATATACAACACACTCGTCCAGTCATGTGACCTGTGCTGACCTTTTACCCCCTGGGTCACGTAACTTCCCACGTCAGAAGCTGAAGAAAGATGGTGGATACCGTCTGAAAGCTTCTATACTTCACAGAACTTTTTGTCATGCGTACCAGTTTAATCCTTCCTTGTACTACCACAAACAAACCTACCCTTGGACTTCTCCTTGCTGAGGATCGGTGTGCGTACGACCGGCAGACTGGACCTGAGGCGGCTGCCCCGGCTGAAGCCGGTGTTGGCGGTGCCCATGGCCGGCTCCGACTGCTCCGACGCCACACTGGCGCGATCCTCCTCTTCCATCACCTCCGCTACATGTGAGGACGACAGAGTTCTCGTCTGGAGAGGGAAGGAAGAAAGACATTGTATTTAGGATCCAAGCATAATTTCATCAGGTTTGCAAGAGACTATATAACAAGGTTCTTTACTCCACAAGACATTAAGTGAGTTTCACATCCAATGTTTTGGTGGCCGTCTGTCACCTTCTTTAGGGCAGGAATAATTCTGACAACATTCTACATGTATGTTTGGGACTGTATTTGTAATATTGCAGTAACAACACATACCTGCAGTGCGAATCTGAACCAGTAACTGCTTTACCTTTAAGTTTAACAGTATAAATGTAACATATATATATACATGAAAGGTATGTGCAACAGCACAACTGAAATACTGTAAAGGTACATGTAATACAAGGTGGCAACACAACTTACTGTATCAAACAATCTGTTCACATAAATGATTGAGTTAATGCCATGGTGTAATGGAATCTAAAAAATGACATTTCTGACAAACTGCAGGACACCATGTCATGGTCGTGCATTCCCCGACCTTGAGAACAGCTCCTGACCTTGAGAAATGGAGGAATGATGTAAGAATGACCAGCTGGCTCTGATGTGCCTGACGTTATCCTAACATGTTATCCCTCCCCTCATCACAACACTCATATATATCATCATTACAGGCTGCAGACACCTGCCTGAGCCTCACATAAACTGTCAACTTAGAGTACAACATGGTCAAGATGTCTCTCAATCTCAGGTTAACTGTCAACTCAGCATCTGAAGAATCCAGCATGGTCAAGAATTTACTCAACTCAGTCTTAATGCATCTGTGTTTTCCTCAGAAGGAATAAAGATGCTACAGACCTACAAGACTCTTCACATCAATTTTGATAATTTTCTAACACATCGATTAAAAATCCTACATCTATAGTGACCACCTGTCCACATAGACCAAATTTCATCGGTCCCTTGAGTGGTCTTCTTGGGCAAATTGTTACTAACAACCCTCACCACCAAATGAGTTACACACAATCCCACACCTTTGTGGTAAGCCAGGCCTGAGGTTGTGGGAACTGTCATGCCACCATACCAACAGTTCCACCTGTCATGCAGGGGAACACCTAGGGGAAACATAGTACAGCTGGTCCTTCTCACCTACCTAACACCTCTCCCCTCTACTACAAACCTGACTACAGAGCTCTTTCAGTCACAGATGAAAGGTAGTGGATACCACAGTTTCCAAAATCTATTGATGGGTTCAACTCTTAGCTTTGTATCTTATATTACATGGGTGTCTAGCCTTCACTGCACACTTCTCCCTTCAAGAGGTGTTTTACTTAGGGGTTACTTTGTGGTTTTGTTTAGAGTAGGAAGAAAATCAAAGAAAATGCAGCCACTATACTAAGGAAATATTGGAAACATAGAAAAGGCTGCCAATAATCAACATAACCCCCGACCAAAACCTCTGCTTGGAGAGTTTACTTTCCCTACACTTACTTCTGATATTGTAACATTCATGCTTGAAAATCTGCTACTGTTTCAGATTCTCTGGATTTGCTCTCGACATTATACTGAGCTTGTAATAACGATATACATGTACACTCCCTGAAAAACGGTCCACAAATGTAGTTTCTCTAAGATGCTTCAGCACTTCTGTTGTGTCAACAAAGTAATCTGATGCCTAAATCCATAAGGAGCTGGATTAACAACAGATTAGCAAACAGATCAACAGAAGAGATAAGCAGCAGCTTCTGGTTAAGCACTAGGGGCCAAAAAAGGGTAACTGTACTTAGTGTATAAAAGTTATTATAGTCATAAAAGTACAACTTCATATAGCTTCAGTTGCAGGCTGAGGAAAGATTGAGGTTGTGAAGATTGTAATAAATCAATATTTTAACAGACAAGATTTTGAAACAGAAGTGTGTGCAGTTAGTTCAATCGCTACTAGTGACTTATGACAAACTAGTGATGACACAAGCAATCCCAGCATGCACTGCAGCCCAGCTGACAGGCCGTGTTGATGGACGTGAACTTCATATTTGAAGCGCGTCCAAGAAATCGGGTCGCCGCAAAAATGTGTCAAAACAACAGTCATCGTTGCAACCTTTAAATCACGAAACCTCAACGTTGGCAAACGGTAATAATTTTACACTTGATCTCTGATATGTCAGTGTGCGTGTCGCACATGGCAAACATGCTATTGGCAGAAAAAAAGTAAACAAAATACTTCTGAAGTGAATGGAATATTTTCCAACCCTCTATGGCTAACAGCCAACACAATACATCAGATCCCACATAAATACTTCTTTGAATAAACAACCCTAAAACGTTTCAATATCACAAAAATATAATCAGAGGAAGATCTAATAATAATATTCACCTTTTTCCCCCTGCCCCTCCATATCTTCCACATATTGGGCGCCCGGGATAGACAGACGTGAACCCGGCAGTGTAGCGAGTCGGTGTGAGCTAACCAGTGGGTGTTGCTGTGTAACCAGGGCCAACCCTGCAGCAGGGGACCCTGACACGGCCCTGCCAGCAGCACCGGCCCTACAGGCCCCCTCACGCCGCCCTGCTGGCCCCCTTATGACTCAGTCCTCCCAGCGAGACAGATTCCTGACATAGCCATGCCCAGGGTCACTGCTACAAATGTACCGCTAGTTTCCAGGGCCTTGTAGAGTCAGTACATACTGCCATAGACATTCTACATTAAAATGGGCATCCTATATTAATATATGACCACTGCTACAAATGAAAGGCTGGCTTCATTCGCCTTGTAAACCACAGACCGAGTCAGTACATACTGTCAGGGAGATGTGGAAATAGGTATGCTAGTACTACATTTGTACATGTATGTTTGTGCTCTGTGGACAAATATATGCCAAAGTGTGAAATTTAATGTCATGTTTAAGTTCAAGTTGAAGATTTACTAACCACGACAAATGTACCACTGCAAACCTCGTAAACCACAGACAGAGTCTGCACACACTGAGTTGTGTGGACGTTACCAAGGTGTGGAATTTAAGAGTGGTTCTGACGTCATGTTGAAGTTCAAGTCTACAAGATTTAGTGTCATAAAGGACTAGTGAACAAGTTTATTGTAAATTACATGCACACACACAGACATGCAGTACCCTGGTCTTATGCACATATACATGTATGTATGACTGTACATTGTATGTTCTATACTGTGTTTATTTAGACAAACATATAATTTTCCCTAAATGAAGCTGATATTCACAAATTAAAGTACAATGTATAGATGTCTCTCACTGCTGTCCTGTATCAACAAGTTGAACTTAAGATGATCACGCCCATGTCCTCTAAGGAACATCTGAAGCTCCAGGGACCTTATAAACTAGAGATTAACACACCAGTAAAGTCAGCAGTGTGGAAAACTGCCCTCCCTCCCACACAATGTTTGGACATCAGCAAATCTAGACCATCTGCTGCAACACAACACTCTACCAGACTGCAAGGCATGGGGTGGCTGAAAAAAAATAGCACAATGTAGAAAGACATTGCAACCCACGACAAGTCTCTTTCCATACTCAAATGATCAGCCAAGCCCTGCAACAGAATATTCTCCTATTTGGTCCATTTTCTACAAGATTTTCTACTCTCCAACCTGAACCTTACATACTAGTAATCTCAAGCAATCAGACAAGACAGACAGGTGTAAAATAAGACATGTGCTCTACCTGGACAGCCCTGTACCTCCTCTCCCTCCCGCACCACCATTAGGGATCCCAGAACAGCCACCGTGACCTTGACTCGACCTTGCCCTTGACTCCTGTCTTATCTCCCTAAACATGGCCGTCAGGTCCCAGCAGAATTTATCCGTGTCCTACTTCACTAAATGGATTTAGCACCGGTCACTTTTCATTTGGAAAGTCGTTTGGTAAACTCTAAAAGGGCAACATGTCGTAAACCCCGAAGGCTAACTTGTCTCTGGGTGTCCAGATCTTTATCAGCAGAATCACTAACTGTAAAGCAGAGATCCTGATCATGATCTATGTTTTACAGAGACTCCAATCCTGATCTTTACTGCCAGATTCTGCTAGATCACTGTCTCTACCTAGTATAAATGTATAATTTGTCATTTTGTTTTAGTCATCACGTTAATGGATATGGGGTACAAATGAAAAGTAATCTTCTATCTAATGTTTTGATTTTGTTATAATATTAAAAAATTTTTCTTGCAATAATACTTTTTCTCCCTTTGAGTTAGATATTGTATGTACAGTTTTCAGTGTTGTGTCATACCCTGACCAGATTTTTCACCTTTGCCCATGCCTGGATTTTCTCTAAATGAAGAAAACTGTTAAAGTTACCACCAACGGGTTTTATATCATAGATGTAAAGCCTGGTATGAAAATCCATCTGGCCAAGTGGATCATATGTCAGACCAACTGCCAAAAATATCAGCAGACTAATTTGATAAAGATCCTGCACATGTGCTATGGGTAAACATGCCACACCCACCGAAGATGGGGTCTGGGATAGAAAATAAAATCCCTTTTTTGAAGAATAGGCCTTTTTTTGAGTACATCAGTTCAACTATGTTTTTCTTTTATATTTTGTCATTCTACATTTTGAATATTGTTGATTAAAATATCTTTATTTGTACATGCTCCTCAAAATGAAAGAAATGCCTAGAACTTTTACTTCTTCTGACATGAGACCTTATCTTGAATTGATGACATCAACTAGAGAAAACTTTTGTCTTTTGTGGCTTGTGTGAAAATTGTAATTTTCACAGTTGTGTCACCTGATCCCTCCACCTCACTCCCCTAAACACCCTGGGAACAAGATGGTTAACGTTCTGGGCCATGCAAGCTTGTTCCCAGTTTAGCCATGGAGGTCCTTTTATACCTCCATGGTTTAGCCAACATGTTTTGTTCATCTAATTTTATTTGCTAAAATTTATAGCAGTGACATTAAAAAGGTGAAGAATACAAGAGAGCAGAGATTGAAATACTGGGTAGAGTTTGAAATCTAAATGATATACAGACTTGGAAGGAAACAACCTAAAACATATGCTTTCCTGAGCTATAAAAGTCATGTTCCAAATTTACAAGTGGAAAGGATAGAGCAAACAAGCAAAGTTGAACTGGATCATTTCCTCAGGTGGCTCTTTTTGGCAAAGATCATTTTCCTGGAGGATCTTACATTGTACACTAAAACAATGCAAGGGTCTCATTCATTCATTCATTTTTTTTTGTTATCTGATGTCTCTGCTGAAGTGAATCTATGGAATTGAAAATAATAATAAATTGTATTTTTGACAGATATGTTCAAATCTGTAACAAGGATTTTTCATTTTCTGTATCTACAATGTATTTTAGTTTAGGAACCTCTATGGGTAAAATTTCCCATCTTTTTTACTATAAGTGATAAAACCATACACTTCTAAGACAATACACATACTTCAGCATCTTAAGACAAAACACTTTCTTCAGATGCGTCTTGAGGCTGACTCATCAACACTCTGATACAGAAAACAGGCTGGTCTCTAAAGCATTCTGCTGGACGATATCCAAAAGGGACAAGTAAAAACACCGACATATGACTTTCTATGAGCCGGGCTGTTTGAACCTCAGTCATAGACACAACAAGGACAGCCTGTGCCTGTTGCCATACAGGCCACACTGACACAGTTCATTGGTTCTCAGACATTTCAGAGTAAAATGGGCTGGGAGGAAAACGTGTCCACACCCTGAAATTGTGTGTACCACTTAGGTACAGACTTTTAGTCTGACATTTTTGTTGACCTTTTACTTAGTTCAAAAATATCTTTTTCAATGGCAATGATCTTTGTTGCATGTCCATGCAAAAAAAACATACATGCAGGATTTTGAAAAAAGAAAAGAAAATGAAAAGCATATTGGCCATAATCCCCATAATATACAGGACATTTTACATTCAGTCAGAAGACAAAAGTGGACAACATTCAGTAGAAACAAATGAAATCCCCCCCCCCCAAATATTAAACCCTGAAAACCGACAAGTTGAACTAATGTGGCCTTTACTTTTAAGACATACCACAAGAGGCAGGGAAGAAGGTGGGTGGGGAGGGAGGGACTTGGGCCTGGTCCGAGCCGACCTCTGACCCCTCCCCACAAAGGGCGCATGGCGCACACGTGTGACGCCTGACTTACTCCAGAACCTGGGTCGTTATTGGAGGGTGGACAAATGTCAAGAACCTTTTAGAGCAGTGCAGACAGACAGGTCTGATTACTGAAGGATAGATGAAAACTTTGAACTATCCCAGAATCACTTCCATATGTGAGCTGACTCAAGGGGGCTTGTATAAAGTGTATCATTGTCATCATCATCTTATGGTCAAGCTCACTAACAAATGTGTTATTGCGTTAAGTCTTAAAATCTTCTTGGCTTTCTGGATAATAAAATTCACCACCTAAATCTAAAACCTATACTGTACTACTGGTAATAGGCACTGCCATAAGAAGTTACTACCATGTGTAGGGATCATCATACCTCAAAAGTCAAAGATGGTACAAATGCAGGGCAATGCATACTAGGTAGTGGTGTGTGTGTTCAACAGTTGGTCCCATACCCATTCCCAAAATGCTAGCTAAGCAGAGAAAGTAGTATGTACCATATTTAAAGTCTTCAGTATGTCTTCGCCAGGGATTACCTCAGCTACCAAATGCAAGTGACTCTACCAACTTGGTCACTGCACCACCGAAAAATCAGTGAGGAAATTTACTGTCTCTGCTTGTGTTAAAGGAACTGCACTTGTTAAAGTAATGGAGCCTGACTTCCCTCCCAGTTAGGGAGGGTTACTAGGGTGTGAATGTCAAGAACCTTTAGGAACAGTGGGGGAGACAGGTCTGATTACAAGGTGGCACCATGGGGCCATGGGCTGCCAAAAACTTTGAACTAGGAAGTAATGGATACCACATGTGAGTAGGGTGTATGGACTCAGGGCTCGAAATCCTTTAAAGATGACCAGAAGCAGGCAAATTTTATCCCCACCACTCAGAATTAGGGAGTGTGGGCCATGCTAAAATTGCTCATAAACCATTTCCATAATTTCTTTAATATACACTGTATACAGTCAATTCAGCTAATGAACATCCACACACACCTACGTGTATAGGATTGTATATACAAACCCGGCCAGTACATAGACCAGTACAGTGTGGGTATACACACACATCATCCCAAATTTACCTGGAGTAACCTGCTTGTACAGGTGGTATTTCCAGCCCTGTCACAGATATATACTGCAAAACCTCCTGTCTGACTGGGTATACACGAACTTCTCAAAGAAAATGTCTTAAGGGAGTAAGACAGGAGGAGTAAAATTAGAACTGACAGTTCCCCACATGGTTGTCTAGAAGTTGATGACCTTGACACCTCAGCTCCCAAGGTCAAGAATAAGATCTTCAGAGGGTGCCAAAGGCACAGCTAGATTACATTATTCCCTCGGGATTGGCTGTATACTAGAATTGCATCACTTTTGTTTGGCATGATGTTACACTTGAAAACAAATATTATAATTTCACATTTATTTCTGTACTATTCATCCTGGGTGGCAACCCTGAAAAGTATATATGGACTGCACAAAACAAAAGATGACCATGTATGGTTCAAAGTACTGAAGGTTCCCCCTATCTTCCACCACCAGTATGACAGCAAACAAGGATGATTTAGAAGATGATGTACAGTAAAGTGCAGGCTACTGTAGGGATGGACCGGATGTGGAAAAAACAGTTTTGATTGTACATCATCTACATGTAACAGGTGAACCTACATGTATTGCTAGGAATTTGCTTAGACCATGTATTCAAGGAAGTCACTCCTATGACAAATGTGAACCTAGCCTGGTATCCAAACCTATCAAAGCTGCCTTACATTGTTGTAGGTTTGGCTACCAGGCTAACATGAACCTGTTTTGATGTTCTCAACAGCTTCCTCACCTGTTTCTGGTACCTTGATGTGGACTCTGCCTGCTGTGGGTACTTCTTCTTCTGCTTACATACAAACAAACATACAAATAAACAAACAAGCAAGCAAAGAACCATGACCCAACCTGTTTCTGGTGCCCTGATATGGCCTGTGCGTGCTGTGGGTACTTCTTCTTCAGGTGCTCCAGGAACGCCTGGCGCTGTCTCTCCAACTTCTCCATCTCCGAGTTCTCACGCTTCATCTCCATCTGACTACGCGGTCCGCCTAAAACAAAACGACCAAACAAACAGACGACAATTGTTATTTCATTTTTTAATTGAAATTGCGACAGCAATATGAGGGCACTGTTATATTTACGTTAGCAGCAGGAAAACATTGTTTTCACTGTTTCTTCTTCTTGTCAATGTCCAGGACCAGATGGCTGTTAGCATGGTAACTGGTGATGTAGCAGACACCTTGTGGTGTCAAAATACATTATGTAGCAAGTTGTAGGGGCTAGTCACCATTTATCTGACCCTAGCCTCTTCACTCATAGCCTCAATGAAAAGGGGGCAGCAGATCAATTTGAGCATTTCATGAGTAAACGAACAAACCTAGTGTGTGACGACGAGGCTCATCCCGGTTGAAATGTCGTTTCCGGCCACCGTGGCCATTCAACGTGCCATTCGGCTTTACCTGGATGTCGTCTGCAGGACGTGCTATCGGCCTACCATGTCCTGAAACATACAAAACAAAAAAGAAGTTTAGAACAGCTAAAATTCCAAACACGATTAACAGTAGATTTCAAACTCTTTTTATTAAAAATTTGGTCCTATATACCCCTTCCTGAAATGAAGAAGGACTGAATCAGATGTGCACTTGCTGCAGGATAGTAATGCATTCTCTCATCTTGTAATACAAACTGTGGGTTTCAGGAAATACAGGAAACAGAAACATTACATGTACTATATATATACCTTCAACTGGCCATGACAACATAGACAGCTTGAACCCGTCTTTCCACAAGACAGACATTATGTAGAGCGCATACAGGTTCAGTGTCAGCTGTCAACCTAAGAAAAACAGGCTAGGGACAGCAGCAGGTTTTTGCTTGAGCTGGTCTTCGTAACGAAAAACCACAATTTTTTTCTGTGCCTAAGCATCCCCTCCTATTAACCGACAGCAGGCCATTGAGAAGTACTCTATTTGATTGGCTGGGATCAGTTTAACTGACATTCGTCGCTACCCAGGTATGACCTTGCAGAAAGGACTCCAACAAAAGAACCATAATCCTCGTCTGAGGTTATCAAATATTCATGGGTGATATGCAGAAGCCAGGTTCAAGGGTACGGAACACCATTCATCAAGCAAATATACCATAAACATTGAGATTAAACCAACGCATTAAACTGAAGGATCTGATAGCAAGGGATTCAATTCATTTTTGGAAACGTGCACTAGAGCCATGTAAGCCCTGGAAACAGTCTTGAGTCCAATCTAACCCAGATCATACTACATTATCATTATGGTGAATTTGCTATTTGGTGGATTCAACGTGATGCAATACCAATCATCAAGTGACATTCATGTAAACATCCCCTAGTGTCAGGGATTTGAACCCAGGACTTTTAGATTCTAAGTCAACAACACCAACCACAATACCACTTTGCATTGTACACATATTGATTCCGATATTGTTCTATCAAAAGTATAACAATAATATTATAGCATAGCCTTTATGCCACATTAGATTCAGATCTTTAATTTTACCAGAACAGCAATCCCAAAACTAGCCAAGTCATGCTGAACAATGAAGCATTCTGACATTGACACTGACACAGACCGTTCGACGACGCATTGTCTTGTTAACTTGGCCGACCACCTGTTCAAGTCGGCAGACAGGCGTGGAACATGCAGTACGTGGGTATTGACGGACTTTAGTAAGGCTTTTGATCTTGTAGATCATACCACAGCCATACGTCACCTCCTGGAGCTTGGAGTCCGCCCGGAACTTGTTCCATGGATTGCCAGCTTTCACACTGACCGGAGTCAGAAAACCAGGTACCAGGGAACTCTCTCACAAGTGAAACACCTTACCTGTGGCCTGGCACAGGGAACGAAACTCGGCCCTATTGTCTTTATAGCTCACGTCAATAGCATCACTGACAACCTGACCGCCAAGTCGTGGGCATTTGTGGATGACCTGAACCTGATCGAAACAAGACTTGCTGAACATCCACCTACACTACAGGGTGATCTTGACAACCTCTCTACGTGGACAGAAACCAACAGAATGAAACTGAACCCGGGGAAGTGTAAGGCAATGCAAGTCTGCTTTGTCCGGATTCCACCTCCTCCTCCTGTTCTCAGCATTGGCGGCCACGAACTTGAAGTTGTCAGTATCGCCAAGTGCTTAGGAGTAACCTTTCAGTCAGATCTGAAGTGGGACATGCACGTCCTGGAAATGTGTAAAAAGGGGAACCAAAGGCTGTATCTCCTATGTAGGCTGAGGCAGTTTCACCTACCAACACACGACTTGGTTACTGTTTACACGAGTTTCGTACGGCCGGTCCTGGAGTATGCAACACCCCTGTGGCATCCAGGCTTAACGTCCAGTCAACGGAGGAAGATAGAGAACATCCAAGTGCGGGCAACTAAGATCATCCTCGGCAACACCTTTCACAGCTACTCTGCAGCATGTGAAGCACTACAACTCCAGAAACTCGAAGACCGACGTGTCTCTCTGTGCCTGAAGTTTGCCCAGAAGCTGTACAAGTCTGAACAGTACAGACATTGGTTTCCTCGACTTCGGGGAGAGATCAGTGGGAGGGAAACAAGACAGAACAAAAAACTAGACCAATTGCCAGCACGCACAGCAAGATATGTGAAAAGCCCATTGCCTTACCTCGTCCAGCTTTTAAACAGCACTCTGTAATGTAATCCTGTAATGTACATGCCTTTATATATTTGATTTTAATCTAGTACTTTTAATGAGGTTGGTATTTTAACTTTTAGTGTTGTATTGTAAAATGTAATGATTATATTGTCACAATATGTTTTTATACAATGTTTTTATACAATGTACGGGACATGTAATTCAGCCTTCGGGCTGTGAGGTGTTTCAAATAAAACCCGCATTATAATTCCGGCATCTAAAAACTAGTACCAGTAGGGTCGATGTCTGTTACCTATTCATTACCCATGATAAATCATAGACAACGATTTACGATCTTTCTAACACAACCTCTCCATGGAAGCCTGACAAACAGAGTTTAATGGACAGACTGTAAAATGATCCAGGATATCAGAGCAGATGAGACTGTGGACCTGGGTAATAATCTAGCTGCAGATTTCTTATACAATTTTTTCTAAATTTGTATTAAAAAATAAAACATTGTGATGATGTAACAATGACTGTAATCTCAACTTTGTAATCTACTGATTATATATATTAAGGTTCACCCTTGAAAATAGCTACTCGCTAGTTCGCTATACCTCGGCTGCATGTATATCAATAGATAAATAAATAAACGTCTACAAATCCACAGTCTTACCTGCAAAAAATTAGAAAATTATGAAGGAATTGCCCAGAAGTAAAAACAACAAAAATGGAATGGCTCTAAAATGATCCATTTCAGAGATTGTGGCTGTGATGTTGCTACTATGTGGAGGATTTGCCATTCATGACATCTTTAGAGATTATTTATGAATATTGTGACAGAAAATTGAACCAGGAATAGGTAGAAAACAGGGACATTCTCCATGGCACCACAAATAAAAAAAACTAACCGTGTGTCGCTCTAACCTACCCCCCTCCCCTCCCCTCAAGTCAATACTAGCTTAATCAAAAATATCTTATTATCAATACATCATCATATCCTTACTAATCTTACCTTGTGTCTATTGCACCTTGAACTAGCTCCTTATCTCCTTTTCCAGAAGAAAAGACAAATGTAGATGTCAAGACAAACTAGTCCTGACTTGACAACAGTTGGAGTCTTGAAATATAGATGCAGGAACCTTTGATAGAGGCTAAATATAACTGGACTGCTCCAGAGAGAACCCAATACCACAGAAGCCAATGGCATCTGGGCAAGAGCTGGATAGGGTTACAGCCGGCTTGTAAAATCATTAACCCAAAATTCAAACTCAGGATGAAACTTGCAAAGGATGTGGAGTCGCTTAAACGTAAATAGAGGGAACTTAACTCATTTACAGAGATTGGCTGCATTGATAAGGGTGGGCTATTTTATGGGTAACCTTGTTATCCACCCCTGTAAATAGCAGAAGTGGTACAGCCTGATTTATGATTTTCTGTGCAAACAGAGTCACTAAATCTGTGTGTGTGTTCGCTGCAGCTATCAATGCCAACCCATGGGGGGACGATATTTCTGGATTGGTCATTAGCAAAATATCATATTTAGGCGTTCTATACAAATTCAACATTGATGCAAGTCATCCATCATGAATATACACATAGCCATTTTGATTACAAAAAAAAAATAAATTACATTCAACATTGAAAAAATGAAAGACATGGTGACATTTTTAAGTTTGCATTTTTTTCTCATTCTGAAAATTTCCAGTTCTACACAAGCGAGAATTCAACACAGGGCTGCTATCCAGGCCCAACCCTTTTCTGGTCAGAAACATGTTGTTGAAATGGCTGCTATCTCCCTGCTAGAGTCAACAGTTTTCTTTCACAACATGTCAGTATATGTCTCCTGGGCCTGCTGTCAGTAGGCTGAGGGTGTCTGGCTAGGAAGCACATTTGGTGGCTGCTAGAAATTGGAAAATCAGTGACCTAGATAGAGCCTGGGTGCCAGACTTTTGCTACTAAATTCTAGGGCCTGTTGTCATTGGGTTAGACTTAGAGTGCATGTGATAGTACTAGTTCACTCACTGATACATGTTACTATAGAACAGACTAAATGAGCTTAAAATATTGAAAACAGAAACGACTACTACTACTAGTGTGCCTAAATTTTCAGATACAAATTTGCTATTACAATGACCTGTACCTAGCATGAGTAAAGTTCAGTAAAGTTCATGATTGATTATCATTATAGTAGTAAATTTCCCTTTGATGTTATAGATATCATTTTATTCATCTCATGTTTGATGCAATCAGTTGACATAAGTGCACGATATGGACATTTTATTGTATAATATACATTACGTCTCTTTGCACAGCTGGCGGTATATAAATGTATGTCGTGTACTAAAAAATATACACAGTAAGACTGTACTTCGCAAAATACTGTAAAGCGTGACCCGTAGGTGAACCCTTAAACATAAATATCCATCAAAATAATCATCTACATGTGTGTCCTTGTCACTAGACAATAAATATGTCACAATTATCGTTCAGATACAAAATACCAAAAAATCATACATGTACAAATTCACGCTTACTCACTCACTGTCCAGTTAAGCGTCTGTCGTTTCCCGTCTTCCGAGGGTTAGATGTTAATTTCCATGGTATGCCACTGAAGAGACTCAAACCTAGGAAATTCTATACAGCACCCAGCCACAGCCATTACCACATATTACACCCTTATCTCAACACACACATGGCGGCACTAGTAACCTGGCTACCCTAAATTCTCAAACTTTTGCAGTGTTCTTATTTTCATGGTGACCTGTCAAACACGAATTCATGACACCGTCTTCCTTGTATCACTACTTAACTGCATAACTGTTTCAACCGCAAATTTGAACCACTGTGAAAATTTCC